TAAATTTCGTGCCAAACACTCCAAGAAACATTAGAATGCGTCACACCGACATTTGAATGTAAAAAAAAGAAGATTAATATAACTAAAGACTAGGCTTTATGGGCATTGTTCCCTTTGCCTTCCCTGAAAAGGGAGAATCTTAAATAATATTGACGTTTCATTATACATAACGTTGAAATTATATACGCATACAATTTAGGTAAAGTTGAGATTTCTTATACTCAAAAAATGTATACTCATATTTAATATGAATGGAATTCATAAAATATCATTTTGTTGCTTGTAAAATTCTGCTCTAATTTATTATTATTTTATATAGACTATGATGTTAACTTAATTGAGAAAAACGGAACGCATTCGGCAGAGAAAGAATATCTACGATAGATATAATATCATTGGAATATCGAAAATCCACGAGAATAGCATTTTTTACCATCAGTAGATATTTTCAATAGATATCCCTCCTTTCGATATTATCTCGAAGCCGATATAATATCTATGCCGCGAGAATTGGGCCCCTGTATTCTATCTTCATACAAACGGTCGGAAAGCGTGTCATACCTACGTCACTCGAGTTCGCGCGGCACCCGGTGGGCATCCAGTCGCGAATGCGCCGCAGCGACGACCGAACGGTGTGATTTGATTTTTAAGCAGTTAGCCGTGCTTAAACGTTTGTATTGTGAATATTTGATTGAATTAAGTAGATACCTACATAATTTATCATGGCAAAGAGCAATAGTCGATATTGTGCTGTTGTATACAAATGCGTATTTATTATACTATTAAAGGACAATGTTAAAATTGGCCTAAGAACCAACACCAATTTGGCATTTATGATAATTCTTAGTAAATTTTTGCGATAATTATCAGTATTTAGTTTTTGACGGACACTTCCAGTAACGTAAGCTAAATTAAAAAGTTAAAAAATAATCTTAGACAATAAATACCATTTTATGTGTATAATCTATAGCACCGCTGCAAACAAAACACTCTTTCTTCCTAATGCCGTACTTCACTTGTCTATTCGTATTTGCTATTTTAAAACATGACATCAGTCTGTCCTTTTCATTCCTTAGTAAGCATGACAAGGACAAACTGTTGTCAAGTGTAGGGCCGGCATAATACTTGTTACTCTATGGGTACGGCCAGAGTCCACTCAGATTCAGATTCAGATTCTGAAAACAAGCGCGAGAAATAAACAGTGTAGTCGAAGGGTACGGCCAGAATGCACTCCTGATTCAGAATCAGAAAACAAAGCGCGAGAAAAAGCAGGCAACCTGCTTACACTACACTGTTTATTTCTCGCGCTTGTTTTCAGAATTTGAATCTGAATCTGAGCGCACTCTGGCCGTACCCTATGGTTGTGGTGCATGCAGTTTGCATTCGTAGTAATCTGTGGCATTCGTGCATTCCAAAGAGTGCATTCCAAAACCGGAAAGTGCATTCTCGTTTCGGATTACCTGTTGTGTGTGTTTATTTGCGATTGTTTTTCCTTTTATATTTATATTATACTATTTCGAATATCTAATATGCCATCGATGTTACCAAAGAGCAGAGCCCTTATTACCAAGTGCTAGTGAAGGTTCACTAGCACGTGCCACAAAATCCTGAGAGAATCATACTGCCAAATTATTCAAGAACACTTGATACACATTGACGCTGCATATTTACACAATATACCTACATGTGATATACAAATAAATACAATAAACAATATGATACAATTATGTGAAAAATAGTCAATAAATAAGAAGCAAAACTACAGTTTTTATTTTATTCACGATTCCTACCTAACCAAGTTTTTCCTAATAGTAATAAAATGAATTAGTTGTAATATTAATTCACTTCATACTCAGTTTATACTAAATTCATAGGTTAACCTATGTTTCATTGAATATTAAACATAACCACAAAAAAATTTTAGTTTTCCTAATAATTTAAGTTCTCAGAAGTGTCCGTCAATAATCTTTGTTTTTACAGTCATTTACTTACGATTTTGAACCTAGAAAATAATATTTCATGATTGTTGGTTCTTAGGCTAACAATGTATGGACGCAGAACAATGTCCTTTAATAATAAAGCGTCTCAGTCGAGGCGTAAATATTTTTCTGTCTCAAATCTATTTTTTTTTATTAAATATTACACTTAAAATAACCTGTATTTTATGTAACACTTCATATCATAATTCATTCACAATATTTTCTTTTACATATGTAATAAAATATTTACAATCGCAAAACTAGAAAGAAACTCATGTATGTAGATGAAAAAAATACTGTAGGCGGGCAGCCCTACCGCGTGGATACGCCCCGCTCAGCCGTAGGCAGTTATTTCAAGGACAGGGCCGAGTCACAATACTGTATAGCTAATATTACCGTACTTTCGCATTCATAATATTACATAGGATTGTTCTCCTAAGCATTAAACTGCTAGAAAACTAGAAAAATGCAATTATACAGGGTGTTTGGAAGATGAGTGCAAAGCTTTAAAGGAAAGCTAACAGAGATCATTTAGAAACATTTGAGCCATACTTGTCATAGACGAAGTCTGACCATTTTATTTTTAATATTTTTTAACGGTTTTAAAGAAAAAAACCTAAAAGTACACAGTTAGTTCCAAGTATTGGCTAATTGACATAATAAATGAATTCTTTTTGATTTTATTTGATAAAACAAGTGTCAAAGCAAACTAAGAAAAAATGTTTAAAACATCTGTATCAGCAAACATTTTTTTACAGATATTTAAAATTATCGTAAATTTTTAAAATGGAAAAAAGCTGTTTATCTTAGGCTTACAAAAAAAACTTGGAATGGTGGAAGACTTCGTCTATGACAAGTATGGCTCAAATGTTTCTAAATGATCTCTGTTAGCTTTCCTTTAAAGCTTTGCACTCATCTTCCAAACACCCTGTATAGTTCTGTGATTTAAATTCTTAGCTACAAAGTAACTATGTTTAAATAACAAATCGATATACTTAAGCGACTACGCTTATCTCGTTCCTGGAAGTGGTTTGTGTACAGCAGTAATGACATAATAAACATGACATAAAAAACAGTAACAATGGTCAACACTGAGAAAGGTCTTTGCTACTCACAATGAAAAGAAGCATACTTCTGCTTACCTATTTGATTTATAATGAACTTTACTTTTAAATCCAATAATTTTATAATGTTCTTGATAAACCAATGAGAATGAAATACGTTTCATCAGGTAGTCATCATGACCAGTCAAATTCTTCTTGATATGATCGTGCACGGTTTCATGCGGATCGAAGATATAAACCTGTTGATATTCGACGAGTGCCATCATGCAGTGGAAGACCACCCGATGAGGCGTATCATGAAGCACTTTGACGATTGCCCGGCTGATAAGCAACCCAGGGTTCTTGGTTCGTCTTGAAATAAAATAAATATTTCTAACACTCACACCACTTAGTCTAGCCCCAAAGTAAGCACTGTATGTAAGGCTTATGTTATGGGATACTAGGATAACGGGACTGATACATATAATTATTTTTATATAGAAATATATATAAACATCCATGAATAAAGTACAAATGCTCGTATTCATCATAAACATTTGCCCCACCGAGATTCGAACCCGGGCCCTGTCGAGTAGGCGACACCTTGAAATCCGGCGTACATGGGCCACGGAGGTCGATATGCAATGACATACATTTGTTTTGTGATAAAAATAAGTATTATACAAAAATACTGCATATTTCACGGTAATCTAACGTCCATGTCGGAAGCCTGACTTTTTTTGATAATGTTGAACATCTTTTTCAATTTAGTCTAGGCGGCTATGAGTTTTCAGTCCGACTATATAAATCTTACAATAAACTACAATGAATCAAAATAAACATGAAATTTTTACTAAAAAAATCACTACACCACACAACAACACACAAACCAGAAGTATTATATCAACCTATTCATTGCCGTGTTAACTAAGTTGATAATATTTTTTCAGGATTGACTGCGACTTTGTTAAATGCAAATGTAAACATGAATAAGGTCCAAGATACTTTGCGTGATCTAGAAAAAACATTTCATGCAACCATTGCAACGGTCAACGAACTGGGTGAAGTGTTGAAGTAAGTATAAACAAAGAAGCCTTAGTTTTGCGCTTACGCACTATTCAGTACATAACCCTAACTGCCCTACTTTTGGCTTATCGACGTCGTTCTAAAGTTGTTTCAAAATTATTACTAAATATTTTTTTTATTTGAGAAATAGGTACTTACTGTTTTTTTCTTCGGTTATCAGGTAGATTATACTATCGAAAAGTATTGGACACTTACTTTTTCTTAATTCACATAATCAAAACATTATACAGACAAAGATTTGAAATCATTCAAGTCGTCACGCCTTTGTACATTTTTTTTTGACTTACAAGTGACGTCACGAGCCCCGCTTCCAAACTTTGGCGTACTTTATCATGGTAAATTTTTGGTAGATCGACAATAAAAAAAGATCTAATTGAGAGACTAAAATAGAATTTTGTTCACTTTACCACTCCTTCTATTCCACGTGGTCAGTTCACACACGCTAGCCTCGTCGCTGTGGGCTTCTCTTCGTGGAGCGTTTTTATAGCATTTTATACTCTATTTAACTTCTTTTGAGACAAAAGGTAAACAAATATGTAAACCAATGTTTCCAAAACTATTGTATCGAGTGTAAAGATGATCGATGTAACCAGACTGATAACAAAATTTCCCTTTTGAACGTAAGTTATTGCCTATTATTGTTTATTACTACTCTTTAATTTATTAGTATTATAATGCATTCAAAGTTTGGGAATAGCTACAGTATTAGGACTTTTTAAGGTCACTTTTTTTAAACTTATGTACGTTTCAAATTCGACTTATTGAAAAAACTTTTAAAGGTGTGTTGACCCTTTATCCCAGTGGAAGTTAAATAGAATATAATATCACATACTGTTCTCATCGCTCGGCGCGTCCCTCTAAGCTGTACATAAGTAAGTAAAATATATAAGTAAGAAAAACGAGTGTGTTTGTGACCACACGACTGAAGTGAAACTTCTTTAGCTCCACCTGTATGTATGTATATTGTATATGTATATGTGTACAATATATACATATGTCATTTACTATCTATAGGAGAAGGAGATAAAGAAAATGTGCGCGCGCACTGCTTTCTCTTGCTTACATGCCCCACTCAACTCCCGTTCGCCTCGCCCGATCACACTTTTCGTAACGCGTTCGCCAGCTTACTCCCAAAGTCAAGCGTGCGTAAAGAAGTTTCATTTAAAACAATAAAAATAAAATAACAGGTCGTTGTCGTGTCGAGCCCTCACTCATTAAAACTACCCAACACCAGCAACAGCCGATTCGCATCTCATTATAATAAGCTACACTTCATAAAAAACCTTGACTTCAACTAAATAAATATTTACTTTAACCACCATATACACAGGTTCAACCATATGTCCAGGGTTTTTTAAATTCTGTCTGGTATCGGTAATTTAGGCGATGGTGGCCCTCGGCATCAGAAGTGATAGGTTGCCAGTTCGATATCAAAAACTAATAAAGGTATTCATGTCTATAGTTTTACTATCGAAAATCGAAAGTGGGCACTCCTGTGTCTTGGTTTCTCTTGAAGTCAAAAATTGGGAGACAAAATAAACTCTTATAATCTCTAAAAATATTCCAGTTACTCTTCGAATCCCAACGAACTGGTTTTTTACTATTCATCAACAAGACCTACGGAAGCTATGAATGGTGCACGAATTTTACTAGAAGATTTAAAAGCTATCATACTGTCTATAGAGTTACCGCGAGTTCGTGGTACCTGTGATGTTCCGCTGGAAAGGGGACAACTTGATATAACCACTGACCCTAAAAAGGTAACTGAAAAGTTCAAAATTCTATTATCACCAGGGCCGAATTTACAGGTATGGAGGCCCTGGGGCAACGAAGAAGTGAAGAAGGGGTCGTATTTTAATGTCTGGCACACCGGGCTTGTTGAAATTTAGTTAATTTCTTTATCTCTCTTGTGGGCCACAGACTCGCCTGCCCTGCCTTAACTCCGGCCTTGATTAACATCGATCATGCTTCCTATAACTCGTACTACCAATGTAGATACGAATTGAAAATAGCGAAGCATAACATTCTGTCTCTCGTCGGCACGTAGGGTGTTCATAACCATGCAGCTCCCCAGTAAATAATAAAAATAAAAAAAACAGCACACACCCTGACAAAAATAATGGGCGAACAGGACAGAATGTCATGCGTTGCCATTTTCAACAAGTTTCTTTATGGACGCGTGGGTTTTAATTAATACTTAATAAATTATATAAATAATATAATTATTAAAAATGTCATACATGTAAGTACAAATACAGGCGTTTTCGCAAATCATAATTGCTGTAGTGCTTTTTGAATGGTTATATGTATATGTATATTATACAGGGTTAATTTTAAAACACCAACAACCTGTTAGGGGCTGATTCTACCCATCAACAGGAACAACTTTTATTATGGGACCAACGCTGAAATCGCGAAAAATTAACATTCATTCATTCTAACATTCTCGTGTCACGGTGGGCGTAATTTACCTACTCCGAAACGGCCCGGACGGCTGGTTTTCGTGAAATTTTATATGCATATTCAGTAGGTCTGAGAATCGGCTACTATCTATTTTTCGTACCCCTAAGTGATAAGGGTTGTCCCATCACAATTTTTTTATCTATAGGACATAATTTTTATATTTTATTTTTTTCTGCAACCAGCCCCTATTTTTATGGCGGTACGAAGTTTGCTGGATCAGCTAGTATATATAAATATATTTGAAATATTTAGCGTGAACATGCATAGCATAAATGAGACTAGTTTTTGTTTTTATTTCGCTTAATGTAAACGTGTTGTAATATATGAATTTCTTATTGATTCGACGTCTCTACAATGAATTAATTTTTAAATAACTATCGAACTCTTCTTTATTTCAGATTGTGAAAGCAGTAAAAAATATGATAGAAGGGATGATCACGTTAATGAATGAATTAGGATCGTACGGTGGATCATTGGGAATCTTAGCGTATACCATTCTGTTAGAACGCTTAAAACGTAAATGTTCTTCGAAAGAAGAAGATTTGTTATATCAGATAGCCATTACTCATTCCACTGAGTAAGTACCGATAATGAATAATTCAAAAGCTTTATAATCTTAATACTGATAGTTCCAATTCTAATATTATATAGAATTCCAGTCCGGGATTGTTTCCAGTCACTTGCACCAAAAAAATCTCTGTAAATCTATTTCAGGGCTCGAATGGTGCTACTAGATTCGATGGCTAATGACACAGGATATGATCGGATCCTTAAACATTCATCTAAGAAATTATTATATATTCTGCAAATTTTGAAAGAATACAATCCGAAATATTACAATTCACCGGGAGGTAAGATTTTTTTTACGACCAAAATAAAGAGGTATGGGCGGACTCTAGCGAACAGTACCACCCTTAGCACAAACCATTGTAAAATTCGAATAGTTGAATCCGATTTCGATATACCTAATAAAAATTCTTATTACGGCCGTTGTGGCGTTCAAATTTCTATACAAAACTTCATGACATTTGACACTTAACCATATTGAATTCAACTATTCGAATTCGATATTGGTTCGTACTAAGTGTACTGCTGTTTTGGAGCTTCCAAAGTGAGCCTCTTCCATCACTTACTTCTTTTTTTTTTATAGCGAGGTTGGCAAATGACTCTTCCTCACCTGATGGTAAGTGGTGATAAAGTCCAAATGCGAAAATAGCTGGTACAGCAGTTATAAACTGCTACACCAACCATCCTCACTTTGCCGGCCTGCAAAAATGCTTCTTCACGCCTCTCTTAAAGGACCCCAGATTATCGGAAGGAGGGAATAAGTGCGCGGGTAAAGAATTCCACTTACTAATAGTACGACAAAGAAATGAGTCACTAAATTTCTTGGTTCGTGTAGGAAGGAAAATAATTCCTGTCAATGCTTTTCTAAAGTGTGTAAACAACACAAATAAATTCAGCTATCACGTTTCATTCGTATGTAAATGTTTTTTTTATAATTCTTATCAATTAACAGAGAAATTATTAAAATATCAGCGGACCTAAAATACCCTTTTTTATCGAAGCGTGGGTAAAAACAGAAATGTGCGAGTGCATTTCTTTACGCCTTCCCCCATTAGATATAAACGTTCTTTCACGGCGACGCGCCATTGTCCATTCCCGCTAGGTATAAAACAATTTTCGCGTCACGTCCATATGATGCTCTCTCTTCAACCTTGTACAATATGATGCATAAGTTTATCTCCATTTATACCTAAAATAGGTATGAAGTGAAAAATCAGAGGTGTTATTTTTATCGTTTGAAGCAAAGCTACTAGGATACAGAAAGTCTATTAAAATTAAAATAGGAAACAGTTACGGAAAATAGGAAGAAAACAAATACACACACACACATACATCAACACACACATACATCAACACACACACCAACACAATCACACTTGCATAAACGCTCACACTTAAGAGCCCTTTCACATTTTTTACAAAAAATCGTAATTTTTTAGCGCCTCGTTTACCCCCATAAAAACATTTTGACTTTTTCCAATAGAAACACAAACAGTAGATTTATTCTTCCTATTGTAAGTTAATGTAGAATATTTGCAAATACTATTTTCCTTTTTTGTACTAATTGTTCTACCGCAGCTAGTTTACAGAAAAAACGATAATATGCACAAATTCAAACGCCTCAATCTCTCAATAATGTTCAATAAATTAGATCGTATTAATTACTACGACATCAGAAATATGTTTTTGTTGTAACATAATGTTTTAGAATTTTAATTTTCCATCTCATTAATTATCAATAAAAATACCTAATCTCCGTGAGTTTTCCCAAAAAATAATGCAGGTTTACCTCGTATTTTGATATTGAATTAAATAGAATTATTATCAAAAAATTTCATAAAACTAATATACCATCATTGAACTACTGAAATATGTATATATTTTTATAATTAGTTCATTAATAATTATTTTATAAGACTCGAAACATCACCCGTAAAATGCAATAAATACTAGTGCAAATCTACTTACGCGCCGATCAGTACGGCAGCGGCGCAATTTTGTATAAGGGCTCTTAATCAAAAATTGTTAAATTGTTTTTGTTTCATTCAGTTGATTACTCATCACATTAGCTGTAGTCAAACTTATTTACCTGTATTAAATTTAAAATACAATTTTGCGAAGTATCGACCAAGGAATCACTAACCCTGATAATACAGTTTTATTAATAATTTCTGGGTTAGGGGTCCATTTCTTGAGCTTTTTGTATGTATACCTCTAGAATTAATTAGACTAATAGTTTCTTCAAATGTGAAATGTTGGGTTATGAGTAAATTATTATTATTATTAATATCATTATCCCTATCACATAATTTCTGTGCACGTGATTAGATAGACTGAGGTTGTGTGTTTATGTGTGAGTGTATCTTGACTTGATTTCCGTTTGCGTTTTGTATTCGCAAGTTAGTAATTATTCAACTGACTTAAAACATATTTGTTTCTTAGGTTTTCACGCACATCACTCATTAAATGAAACTAGTTTTAACGGGTTAATGCACGAATAAATAAATTAAGTTTCGTACATTAACCTGTTAAAACTAGTTTTATTTGACCTAAAACATTTACGTTGAAACAGTAAACATTCTTGCTTAACCCAACATCCTTTCAATATCTTGACTAATATCGGTGATATTTATTTTTAGCGCTTATGAAAATCAACAAAGGCAGGAAACCATTGTCTGGAATCATATTTGCACAACAACGGTTCACAGCTAAAGTTTTATACAACTTACTGAAGGATGTGAGAGAAGCTAACCCGGACGAGTTTGGTTTTTTAAAACACGATTTCATAGTCGGTTTTAATATCAACCCCATGAAAAGCACACGAGAGCAGCATTACTTGAAAAAGTGTAGCCACAAAGCTCTTCTGAAGTTTAAAAATAAGTGAGTGAACCTCTACCAAGATATTTCCTCTTTGGTTTTGTACTATAGACTAGATAAGATATTTCCCAATGTCGATAAAAACATCTTAGATATTGCGGTATGACTATCAAACGGAGCCCTACTGCTGGCACACGAAGTTTTGTTTGAAACAATTTTGAAAAAACGAACTAATGACAAACCACCTAATGTTGTTCTAAAGATTTTCTTAACTCTCTCTTTCTGAACGTATGAACCCTACTTCCTACTAATATTATAAATGTGAAAGTTTGTATGTTTGTTACTGAATCACGCAAAAAGCCCGAATGTATTTGGATGAAATTTTAGACACAGACAACGTATAACCTGGAAAGAGACATAGGATACTTTTTATCCCGAAAAAGTGTACCGTTGCTGAGGTATTTTCAAAAAGACTAAAGTTAACGCGGACGAAATAAATATACTGCCGCCAGTATATTGATTAATCAGATTTTTTTCTATAAAAATTCTACATTTGGTACGAAACCAGAGGTGCGCCACCTCTGTGTGTGTGTGTGGTGTGTAATGGTTGAAAAAATTTATTAGTTAAAAATTAATAGTTGAATTAAAATATCATATAATTATAATGGTTAAAAATATCAGTTAATCTTTTTATTCAAATACAATATGAATTTCTCATAAGTTTATTTATTTTCAATATTTTTATTAGTTTGGTCTGTGATTGAAATTATTCATTACGATAATTTTATCAGTCGGTTATATTTATCTTTACGAATTAATATACTCTCACGTTAAAATTAACATGAATTGAATGAATATTTTTATTTAATATGGTTGAACATATTTATCGAATGTATGTGTTACCTTTTTTTATTAATTCAATTTAACGGTTGATAAATATATTCAACAACACTACGAAACTGTAAATGCAGACTTTACTAATATTACATATGCAAGAATCGTGACTGTTTAAAAAAAAACAAATAACCGTCACAACTCGGTAACCATCCAGTTTTGACTCCTAGTTCACTGGACTTAATTTGTTGCTAATGATCTCTATTATAACCCATTTCACGGAATAGGTCGAGTTTTTCTGGCATGTCCTGTATAGTATAAGCATATATTATGCATTCTTTTTGGCGCAACTGCTTTTTATATACGCCATTTGCGTTATGGTATACTCCTATTCGACGCATATTAATTTATGTGTATTGTTTTTTTAGAGATTTAAACTGTTTGATATCGACCAGTGTCATAGAAGAGGGTGTCGATATCAGTCAATGCTTGCTCGTGGTGCGCTATGATCCGCCATTGGAATACAGATCTTATATACAAAGCAAAGGTACATTATAATTTTATACTTTTAAGGGCTTCTTTCACAATCGATAATTAAATTTGAGGAGCTGACGAACAAAACGGTATAAAACGAACAAACGGTCTTTGGGCAATTAAGCAGTGTTTTAGCTTACAAGAGGTTTTTACTATTTTGGATATATTTTTTGATTTATTATTAGTAAGATCAACAGCTAATTTAAAACAGGAAACCTGAACTATAGTATTAAAAAATAGCCAATTATAAGTCCTCGCAAATAACTTACAAAGATAAAAAAAAAAAAAATTCTATAGATAGGTTTGACAAATTACTCCACCCCACCTGATTTTAAGTGACGGTGAAGTCCAGACGCGTAGTAGCTGGTACAGCAGTTCTACCTGCCACACCAGCCATCCTCACCTTGCCGGCCTGCATGTTGCTTTTTCACGCCTCTTTTAAAGGAATAAATAGATAAAAGTGGAGTTAATATTGAAAATGTAAACTACTCGTCCAGCTACTACCGATTTTTTTATTACATAATACCGCCTGGGTCTAAACTGTACTAAACTAATACCGATCGGATCTTTTTAAAAAAAAATCAAAAGTTCTTAGTTTTAATTGTATGAATTGTTTTGTTACAGGCCGAGCACGAAGCAGTGAATCTAGTTTTGTACTCTTAGTGAGCGAGACAAATCGTGATAATTTTCTAAAACAATATGCTGCGTTTCAGAGGACAGAAAATTTTATACAAAGAGTAAGTTTTTAAGTCGTTAAAATTTCATGTTTTTTTCTTAGAGCCTTATGTCACACTGTAATACTAGCATTTCACATAGCTATTCATGCATGACTAAATTTCACAGCAGTCGTATTTTTTTTTCTATAGATTATGATCTGATAGCAGGCTTAATTTGATAGTTAGGCAAATAAGTAGAAAGATAGCCTTTTTGGTCGACATAAATAATAATGCAGGCTAATGTTAACGGAAAGTTTATTTAGAAAATATCTAAAGCCCTGTTAAAATCCGCCATGACACTATGCCTATATACATTCGTGTTGAATTTCAATTGTTTACTTTATCTACAAGTATCTGACTATAAAAGAGACTGTTGCCTCTTGAAATTGTGACTTTTAACAGGTTATTTTAATATGTATAGATGTTTTAAAAAATCTTATTTCAGATGTTAGTTGGAAACACAGAAGAGAGAGAAGCTCCAACTGCCGAAGACATAAGAGAGGGCCTTTATGACGATGATGAAATACCCCCTTACATTACGGAATGCGGCAGTATGTTTAATAAAGTATTACTATAAAAAAAAATGTGTTGTGATAACTGTCGTTGACATACGTATTTTATATGAATTAAATAGGCGATTTATACGTAGTGTTGTGTCAGACCATTTTTCGAAATAAGCACAGATTATTTATTGAAATAGTCAAGGTATCGCTAGGTGGCGCTGCAATACAACTCCAGTGACAACATTTAATAATTAAGAATTACTTTTTGCTTAACTTTTGGCTACCTACATTTCTAATATTTGGATATTGAAAAGCGTTCTAAAAAGAAACTTTGATTTTAAATGTTGACGGTTTTGACATTGAGTAAGTGAGCTTTAAACAGATCCCTACAAATATTAACTTAAGTTTTAGGCTAAAAATATTGTCGTCTTGTCGTCTATCATTTTCCAATACATTACCGGGCTTATTGGTGAAAGTAGGACGAACCGAAAGCATAATATTGCTATTTTAGCATTCCTTCTATGTAAATTATTATTTTAAGAGTAATATTACCTAGGCTTCATACAAGCGCGTGCATTTGTATGCGGTCTCTAGTGCCCAATTTCTGAAATCACGATTTCTCAAAATAAAACTGCAATTTTCCTTTTTTTAGATCGTCTCTCGGCCGCATCAGCGATAAGTCTCATCAGCCGATACTGTTCTACTTTACCACACGACCAGTTCACTGTAATAACACCAATGTGGATACTAGAGAAGGACAGGAATAAGGAAAAAAATACAATCACGATCATAATGCCTATTGCGTGCCCAGTCAAAGAAAAAATTAAGGTAAGTTATCTTTTTTCAAAACATCAACTTTCCTACAATATCTGTTAATATAAAGGTTTATCGGATTATGTAAGTTTCTGCTTTAAATGAATCGAAATAGGGCTACTTTTACAATCCTTAAATAATTCATAATCTATGATATTCATTACATATAGGACAATATCCGTGGTCGAGTGGTGTGCACTTAGGTATTCACGGTTTTGTCTACTAAGACGTGCGGGATTCGAATCCCGGTAGGGAAAATGTTTATTTAACAAATACGAACACAGCAACGTAAGTCATGGTTATTTATATAAATTTCTACAAGAAATCCACTTATGCATCATTATATTAAATTATTTATTTTTATCCATTACCTTAGTATACCATAACACAAGCTTAACACTTCGCACTTTGGGGATAGAATACTGTACGTTTTATGCCGGCACTTCACTTGGCTGTTCGTGTTTTGCTATTTGTAAACTTGACAGCAGTCTGTCCTTATCATGCTTTATAAGGAATATAAGCGACAGAACTTTGTTAAGTTTACAAATAACAAAACCCGAAAAGCTAATTGAAGTGCCGACATTAGTAATATTTGTATGGTATTTTAGGGACAACCGTTCGAGACTTTGAAATCGGCGAAGCGTTCCGCTGCTTTAAATGCATGCGTGAGACTCCACCAAGAAGGGGAATTAGATCGAGTGACGCTCCTCCCGCGCCATTATGGGTGAGGAAAGATTATTATTTATTAATTTTTCAAAAATCAGCGGTTGTAAAAAAAATTGCATCCGTAGCAGCCCTGGCTCATATGTGCAGCAAAACATTCCAGTCTTAAAGTGTTGCGGTGCACACGAATACGTCGAGTAATGGCATGAGGGGCATCATAGGGGCCGTTCATAAAATACGTCACGCTAAAATCAGCTTTTTCCGACCCCCTCCCCCCCTATTGTCACGCTGTGTCACACTTTCTGTGACCCCTCTTAAAATATTCCGTCATAAAAACGGAGAAACCCCCCCCCCCCTCCCCAAGTATGATTAATTTCAATTAATAGTACACAAATTTTAAGAATTGAAATATTTATTTAGTTTTTATAATAAAATTTCAATATATAAATATGCGCTAATGTCGAAAAATAAACATGAGTAAATATGATTTTATCAAATTTTAAGAATTTAAATATTTATTTAGTTTTTATAATAAAATTTAAATATATAAATATGCGCTAATGTCGAAAAATAAACATGAGTAAATATGATTTTATTTATTTTTTAAGCATTTAACTGCTGGATGTTTAAACCTAAAGAAAAGTTTTACTAGAAAAAAAATCCACGCGGACCAGGCAGCGGACGGGACTCGAACCCGCTGCCTAGTCCGCGGGGATTTTTTTCTAGTAAAACTTTTCTTTATGAGTAAATATATCAAGTTAAAATTTATCGTATAATAAAACTATATACGTTTGAATGTCTATATGTTTACTAAATACGAAATAAATGTTTTTCTATCTTGATGAAATTTGAGAAAGAAAAATAGTTGAAAGAAATACTAATTTAAAAAAATTTAATGAACGACGAACGTCACGTTGCCGTAGACCCCCCCCCCCCCCCCCCCTTGTATGCGAACGTATTTTATGAACGGCCCCATACATAATATTAAAATGGTAGGAAAGTCAAAACTGTAATAAAATATTTTTTTAAAAGAATACTTGGGGTGTGATGTACTATCGATACCGAAGCCAAAAATATAGTTTTTAGAATGTTTGTCTGTATGTATGTCCGGGATAAACTCAAAAAGTACTGTTGGATTTACTTTGAATTTGGCACGAATGTTATTAAAAAGACGGGTCAACATATAGCCTACATATTATCACGCTATCATCTACGGGGAACGAGTAGTGAACCTTTATTTCTAAATAACTCCACGCGTACGAAGTCGCGGGCGGCGCCGTTCAAAATAAATCTGTTTCCAGATTGTTCGTGACAATATTATGGGCATCATTTCAGGGTCCATTTGCATACGTTCTGGGCGTTACTATTGAACACAACTAACAACGTTAGAATATTATGTACGATCAGCTAATTTGATTCCTGACACAGCATACGCTTATTTTATGACAACCGTTTCAAAACAATTAGGTATATGTTTTCTTAAATATACGTATCCCTGGAATCAATCTTGTTATTTTTTGAATAATCATATTTGTCGTGACAGATTTTGCCGCCTTTCTGAGACATAATTTTGACAATAAATTATTTGAAGTTTTGCCCATGGACTATGGATTTCCTAGTAGAGCAGTTTATAATTTTTTTTTATTATGTCAAGAAATTGAAACAATTACTTTTACATATACGATTATAAAAGTAATTTCTAAATTCTAACTACTATTCCAATTTTATCTATAAAATGATATATTGCATTGTAAAAAAAGGTCTAATTTCGAATATCTGTGATCCATATTAACACAGTTTCTTTGTTATTAGAAAACAAACGAAATTATCACATTTCCGATTGTGATTGAAAAAAAATACTGCAATCTTTAGAATTATAATCGGAGATGTGAAAATTTCGTCGATTACAGCTCTAATAGTTTTCTTTGTAAAATTCTTTATATGTCGATACTACTAATAAACAATATCCTATAGGTGTTATTTTAATATTTTCTTCCATATAAACTTTACCTCAGACAAACTTTTCGTAATATAGTAATACGAAATAAAATAAATATTCTCGTTTTTTAGCAAAGTGAATTTTGAAGATCCTGATATAAAACAGTGTTTCCTAAACTGGCGTTGGGATGAAAAAGATGATAAAGATGAAAACGCTCCCAAGCCGGGTACAAAGAAAATGGTGCGCAAATACGAAAAAGTGGTAAGTCATATTCTTTATAATGGATTTTTTTTGTTATTAAACCTAGCAGACAAGCTGTACCCTAAAGAAATAAATAAAAATATATTTAACTGTCGTATTGTGTCGTGACGCGTCAGAAAGTTACCGGTTTCATATATTTAGTACGCTCAGAATAAGATTTGTGAGTCGCGAGGTGTCGACACCATACTCATTCTAATCGTACTAAATATATGAAATGATAGATCTCTGACACGCGACACCCCACAGCACGACAGATAAATAGTTATATTATCTAGCTTAAAAAAATGTAAATTTTCTTACATACAAAAATTTCTATATAAATAAATACACATATTATATATAATAAGATAAGTAGTAAGCGATACATATATATACAATTATATATAATACAATTCATGTTTAAAATCCTAAAAAATAAATGTTGAAACATAAAATTAAGAAAAATGAATTCCCTGAATCATCTAGTTTGCTAGTTTTTAAGGAATGTGTAAAATACAAGACTTTGATGCATAAACATAAGATGTTTCTTACATATGTCGCTATATTAGACACCGGCTGCCTAATGTGTTAAATTTACTTCTTCCACAATCCTTTTTATTTCATATACAAAATGAGCATGCAAAAGAGATCGGTTTAAGTTACATTAACACTTGCTTAAGCTTGGAAGGGATCGCGGTAAAAGTTCATGAAATAGCCCTCTTTAACCTAGTTTATTATACAAATCTTATAATACAGCAATATGGCAAAAGTAAATATTTTTTGTAAAATTTATGATTATAAAAATAATACGATTTCAGTTCCCATCATGCCTCAAGTCATCGAAAACCTGGATAATGGGCCAAAGAACGTTTTATTTACACGTCATAAAGATGAAGACTGCTTTCGAAGAACCATCGGAATCCCGTGAGAGGGCCCTTTACAATTTGTTACGGAGAAGTGAAGGCTATGGGCTATTGACGCCATCGGCTTTACCGAAACTTTGTGATTTCCCAATGTTCCTTACAGTGGGTGAAGTAGCCACCTCTCTAGAAGTGAATTATGCAGTGATACAGTTGGATTTGCCTTTGTTCGAAATCGTCAAACAGTAAGTAGTGTTATAAGTTCACTAGCGGCCGCCCGCGGTTTTGTCCGGGTTAACTTCAGTATTTTGAGAATCCCACGGAATCCTAATATTTTTTTCCGGATAGAAAGTATCCTATGTCTCTATCCAGGTCATATACTATGTGCGTACCAAATAGTATAAAAATCCTTTCAGTAGTTTTTGCGTTTACGTGCGTAAAGAATAGCAAACATCCATTCAAACTTTCGCATTTAAAGATTTTAGTAAGTAGGGTAATATTGGTATTTTTTATAAATTTGGGATTTTTAAAGTAGATACTACGGATACTTGAGGTATATTACCCTAGCGTAACAATTTCAAAAGTTCATATCCTAAGGTATATAGTATTTTGTTGCTAATTTGTTGCTATTTTGTGCCGCAAGAATTGATTTTGTTGCTCCAAGATTTCTGCGAAAAACGCCTGTTACGCTAGCGAAACCACAGCGATATCTCGCAGGCAAAAGCAGTTAGAAATATCAGACAAACGGCGTATTTTGTTGCTATTTTGTTGCTATAAGATAGGCATGCTGCGTACATCATAATCACAACCCTTATCGGGGTATGACCAACCCCCGACTCCAAGACACCAGATATTTCGTATCTCGTGAGCTAAAGCAGCTAGTCACCCGAGACCAACGGCGTATTTTGTTGTTATAAGATAGGCATGCTGCGTTCATCATAATCACAACCCTTATCGGGATATGACCAACTCCCGACCCCGAGGACACCAGATATTTCGTATCTCGTGAGCTAAAGCAGCTAGCGACCCGAGACCAACGGCGTATTTTGTTGCTATTTTAATGCTATTAGATAGGCATGCTGCGTACATCATAATCACAACCCTTATCGGGGTATGACCAGCCCCCGACCCCGAAGACACCGGATATTTCGTATCTCGTGAGTTAAAGCTGCTAGCGACCCGAGACCAACGGCTTATTTTGTTGCTATAAGACAGGCATGCTGCGTACATCATAATCACAACCCTTATCGGGGTATGACCAACCCCCGTCCCCGAAGACACCAGATATTTCGTATCTCGTGAGCTAAAGCGGCTAGCGACCCGAGACCAACGGCGTATTTTGTTGCTATTTTAATGCTATTAGATAGGCATGCTGCGTACATCATAATCACAACCCTAATCGAGGTATGACCAGCCCCCGACCCCAACGACACCGGATATTTCGTATCTCGTGAGTTAAAGCAGCTAGCGACCCGAGACCAACGGCGTATTTTGTTGCTATAAGATAGGCATGCTGCGTACATCATAATCACAACCCTTATCGGGGTATGACCAACCCCCGACCCCGAAGACACCAGATATTTCGTATCTCGTGAGCTAAAGCAGTTAGCGACCCGAGACCGAGGGCGTATTTTGTTGCTATTTAGTTACTATAAGATAGGCATGCTGCGTACATCATAATCACAACCCTTATCGGGGTATGACCAACCCCCGACCCCGAAGACACCAGATATTTCGTATCTCGTGAGCTAAAGCAGCTAGCGACCCGAGACCAAGGACGTATTTTGTTGCTATTTTCATGCTATTAGATAGGCATGCTGCATACATCATAATCACAACCCTTATCGGGGTATGACCAACCCCCGACCCCAAGACACCAGATATTTCGTATCTCGTGAGCTTAAGCAGCTAGCCACCCGAGACCAACGGCGGATTTTGTTGCTATTTTAATGCTATTAGATAGGCATGCTGCGTAAATCATAATCACAACCCTTATCGGTGTATGACCAACCCCCGACCCCGAAGACACCAGATATTTCGTATTTCGTGGGCTAAAGCAGCTAGCGACCCGAGACCAAGGGCGTATTTTGTTGCTATTTAGTTACTATAAGATAGGCATGCTGCGTACATCATAATCACAACCCTTATCGGGGTATGACCAACCCCCGACCCCGAAGACACCAGATATTTCGTATCTCGTGAGCTAAAGCAGCTAGGGACCCGAGACCAAGGGCGTATTTTGTTGCTATTTTAATGCTATTAGATAGGCATGTTGCGTACATCATAATCACAACCCTTATCGGGGTATGACCAGCCCCCGACCCCGATGACACCGGATATTTCGTATCTCGTGAGTTAAAGGAGCTAGAGACCCGAGACCAACGGCGTATTTTGTTGCTATAAGATAGGCATGCTGCGTACATCATAATCACAACCCTTATCGGGGTATGACCAACCCCCAACCCCGAAGACACCAGATATCTAACCAGTTTATCTTACAGCAACAAAATAACAACAAAATACGCCGTTTATCTCGTGCCGCTAGCTGCTTTAGTTCACGAGATACGAAAAATCAGAGATATCTAAGAATAAGGGTATTTAGCCCCCATGAAGGGCTGATATTTTTTTCATATCTAATCAGCTTATCTTATAGCAACGAAGTAGCAACAAAATACGCCATTTGTCTCGTGCCGCTAGCTGCTTAGTTCACGAGATATGAAAAATCTGAGATATCTAAGAATAAGGGTAGTTAGCCCCCCATGATGGGCTTATATTTTTTCATATCTAACCAGCTTATCTGACAGCATTAAAATAGCAACAACTTCGGGTCGCTAGCTGCTTTAGCTCACGAGATACGAAATATCTGGTGTCTTCGGGGTTGGGGGTTGGTCATACCCCGATAAGGGTTGTGATTATGATGTACGCAGCATGCCTATCTTATAGCAACAAAATAGCAACAAAATACGCCGTTTGTCTCGTGCCGCTAGCTGCTTTAGTTCACGAGATACGAAAAATCTGAGATATCTAAGAATAAGGGTAGTTAGCCCCCCATCAAGGGCTTATATTTTTTCATATCTAACCAGTTTTTCTTACAGCAACAAAATATGCCGTTCATCTGATATCTCTATCTGCTTTTGCCTCCGAGATATCGCTGTGGTTTTCGCTAGCGTAATATTACGCTAGCGTAACAGGCGTTTTTCGGAGAAATCTTGGAGCAACAAAATCAATTCTTGCGGCACAAAATAGCAACAAATTAGCAACAAAATACTATATACCTTAGGATATGAACTTATGAAATTGTTACGCTAGGGTAATATACCTGGATACTTGTGTGCGTTGAGAAATGGGGTTTTCCAAGCTGCTTCTTGCACAATTTTTTAGTAAGACGAATGCTTGGATAAATCAGTCAATTCTGTAGGCCTATACACCTATGAAGTGAAAATTGCATAGCCATTGATGCTCTTCAGGACAAATTTCTTATTGGCTTTATAATAAAGGGTCCCTTCTGATTTGCATTCTGGTATTCATCCAATAAACATTATTATTATTATAGTTGAGAACAGAAAATAGCACGGTGATCATCACTTCCACCTTTCAAAATCTGTTAGCGAATAGGCCTAATGTTAGAGTTGTAAACAAAGCAATACTGTGTAATAAGGAATTGAATAAGGATTGTTAGCGGGTTCGTCCTTCGATCGTGGAAGTTAGCACTTTCTCAATGGTCGGTCATTGGATGGGTGACCGAAAACTTATTATCTCGAGCTCCTTCGTGCTTCAAAAAGCACGTTAAGTCGTGAGTCCCGGCTGCATCTGTAGTCGTTAGCACCCACCAATTCGCACTGGGCCCTTGTAGCGGCCTTTTCTCCCTATTCCATCTATAAGGAAGTTCTGTGCCCCAGCAGTGGGGAATTTATAGGCTTATGATGATGATGAATCAATAACAAAAAGTAGATGTTACTTAAAGGCCCAAGCAAGAGTTTTGACAGCTCCGTAATCGTATCGTCATCGTCAAATGTTCTATGAAAACTAAGCATTCCGTGCGGTGACGGAGAAAGAATACAACTCACCGCCCCTTCTCTTCCCGTGGGTGTCGTAAGAGGCGACTAAGGGATATCGGAGCTTCCATCCGCTCTGCTGGTGGTAGGGTGCCTAACACCCGCCTGGTTTGTTACCACCGTGCGCATGGTGAAAAACCCGTGAAGTGCTTCTCGCGCGTTTCGGGGTCAGCCAGCGTACAACCAGGGCTCGAGTGGAGGTTGTCGCGACGGATTCGGTCCAGGGCTAGGCATCCGTGGAACCGATGCCGGGAGGACTGCATCGACCCGCCCGGCCAGGGAGACCCGTAGAAACGGCTGTCCCGCTGGCCGCCCGTGGCACAGTACAGGGGCCCGAGCGTTCCTAACCAGTTCGCGAGGCTGCCCCATCATGTCACGCATAATCTCGGGGTGGACCGTCGTGCCGGTTGGTGACCGGGGCGTGGGGTCCCGGCGGCCACTTCCGGGGGGGTGCGGGGGCCCTTCCGTCCGGCGGGTCGGCGTATATCCTCTGCAGGCAATCATTCGGGGAAACATGCCTCCCTAATTTTCCCGGTCTTGTCGCGACAACGTCCACTCGTTTCACGTCTCTTTTTCACTTCCATAATGGCAGCTCCTAAAACAAAGTTTGGACGTTCAGCGGTGCACACCCCCACGCCTTCAACGCTGTTTGAGGTCGAGTTCTGCAACATACGCGGACTCCACTCTAACCTCAACGCTGTCCACCACCATCTTGAGACAGCACGGCCAGCATTGTTGTTCCTGACGGAGACACAAATACTTCCGCCTGCTGACACAGGCTACCTTAATTATCCCGGCTACGTGCTTGAAGAGTCCTTCAAAGCGAAAGCCGGTGTATGCCTGTATGTTCGGGCGGATGTTTGTTGTCGCCGTCTCCGCTGCTTGGAAGATCCCTCCTTCTCCATGCTGGGGGTACACGTCGACTCTGGCCCCCTGGCCAGAGTTTACGTGTGTCTCTACAGATCCCACACCGGCGATGTTGAGACAACTCGACTTTTTGAACACCTTAGTCGGGCAGCAGATGACGCGCAGGAACAATTTCCCAATGCAGAATTGGTGTTTTTGGGGGACTTTAATGCTCACCACAATTTGTGGTTAAGTTCCTCCAAAACTGACCATGCAGGGATCTCTGCTCACGCATTCGCTCTCACGCATGACTTGAAGCAACTGGTTGATCAGCCCACCAGGATCCCAGATATTCCAAGTCAAGCGCCTTCTTTACTGGACCTTCTGCTCACGACCCATCCACAGGGCTATCAGGTTGTGGTAAGAGCCCCCCTGGGCTCGTCAGACCACTGCCTGATATCTGCCAAAGCACCACAGGCCAAGCCTCCGCGTCCAGCAGTGGTCAAGCGCCGTATCTGGCATTATGGGTCGGCAGATTGGGACGGTATGCGTGACTACTTTGCGTCCGTCCCCTGGAAGCAGCGCTGCTTCAGTGACAGGGACCTATCGGCCAGTGCCGTTGCCATTACTGAGGCGATTATAATGGGTATGGAATACTATATTCCTCATTCTGATCTCATCAGTAAGGGCACGCGTAACCTCTGGTTCAATCACGACTGTGCTGAAGCTGCTTCGCGTAAGCAAGCGGCATATCGTGCTTGGATCAGAGGGCGCGCTCTCAAGGATCCCGAGGTCGATTTACTCAAAGCAGCCTACAATTTTGCTTCCAAGGCCTGTAAGAAGGCTTACATTAGAGCGGATGCCCAGCGCGTTGCACGTGTTGGCCAGGAACTTATGACGCATCCTACGGGCTCCCGTAGCTACTGGCGTCTGGCCAAGGCCGTGCAAAAAAACTTCTGCGAGCCCTCGCTGCCACCTCTGAGATGCCCAGACGGAACACTAGCCCATAAGCCGCAGGAGAAAGCCGATTTACTGGCAAAACTCTTTGCGGCTAACTCCCGAATCGATGATTGCAATGCACTGCCACCATCATTACCTCACTGTGGCACAACGATGCCTGATATTAAAATCAGGCAGCGCGAGGTTCGTGCCGAATTGCAATCACTCGACGTCCGGAAAGCTAGTGGACCTGATGGCATCCCAGCAGTAGTACTCAAAAAATGTGCAGCGGAGTTGTCTCCCGTGCTCACGCGCTTGTACCAATGCTCGTATTCTTTGGGGCGTGTGCCGGAGACTTGGAGAGATGCCAATGTGCAACCGGTGCCCAAAAAAGGGGATCGCTCAGACCCGGCAAACTACCGGCCAATAGCAGTCACCTCAGTTTTATGTAAAGTTTTAGAAAAGGTCCTTAATAACCATCTGACCCGCTACCTAGAGGATCACTCCTTGATTAATGATCGTCAATATGGTTTTAGACCGAAACGATCGACGGGTGATCTTCTAGCGTACTTAACTCATATCTGGGGTGAGGCTATCGACAAGCGTGGCGAGTCGTTGGCTATCAGCCTTGACATTGCCAAGGCGTTTGACAGGGTCTGGCACAAAAGCCTTCTCTCCAAGCTTCCGGCATACGGTCCGCCAGCCCAGTTCTGTTCTTGGGTAGCTGACTTCCTGCATGAGCGTAGAATTCGTGTCCTTACGGATGGTAGCAGTTCGCGGTTCATGTCAGTGAATGCCGGCGTTCCCCAGGGCTCCGTCCTATCCCCCACTCTCTTTCTGCTGCATATCAATGACTTAATTCCTCTTGGGAATATTCATTGCTATGCAGACGATAGTACAGTGCATGCGGGGTATCTCGGACAAGCAGCGGCTGGGCTGGCGGTAACCAAGGAGAAACGCGAGAATCTTGTCATTGAACTCAATCAGGCTTTGGACCACATTTCCGAATGGGGTACCAGGAACTTGGTTGAGTTCAATGCCAAAAAAACTCAGGCTTGCGCTTTCACGGCAAAAACATCGTCATTCCTTCCCCTTCCATCTCTTCAGGGCACAACACTACCGCTGCAGAGCAACATTTCCATGCTCGGTATGGAAGTTCGCTCAGACCTGAATCCAAAGAACTACATCGAAACCGTGATCAAAACAGCTTCACGCAAACTCGGAGTCCTGAACAAGGTGCGGCGTTTTTTCACGCCCGATCAACTGTGCCTGTTGTACAAAACGCAAGTGCGGTCCTGCGTGGAATATTGCTCGCACCTCTGGGATGGCTCCGCCAAGTACTTGCTCGATGCTTTGGATAGGTTACAGCGACGAGCGATCCGCATCATAGGCGATGAGGAGGTGACTAAACACCTTGAGCCTCTTCAATTACGCCGTGACGTGGCGTCACTAAGCGCGTTCTATCGTCTGTACCACGGCGAGTGTTCTGAGGAGTTATTCTCTCTTATCCCACCTTCTCCTTTCCTTCAGAGGACCACGCGCGCTGGCCTACGTTGTCATCGTCTAACTGTGGCCACAATTCCAACGCGTACAAAGAAATTTGGTGACTCATTTCTTTGTCGCACTATCCGTAAATGGAATGCTCTGCCCGCTCACGTGTTCCCTCCCTCTTACAACCTGGGATCCTTTAAAAGAGGCGTGAAGAAGCAACATGCAGGCCGGCAGGGTGAGGATGGCTGGTGTGGCAGGTAAAACTGCTGTATCAGCTATCGTCACGTCTGGACTTCACCTTCACTTAACATCAGGTGGGGTGGACTCATTTGTCGGACCTATCTATAAAAAAAAAAAAAAAAAAAAAAAAAAAAGCAGCGCCCCCTATTAAAGAATAGCGGCCAGCGGCCTAAGAACAAACTAGATTTTTTCATACAAAATTTGACGTTGACAATACGATTACGGAGCTATAGATAAACTAAGAGGCGATAGGCTTGTAAAAAATCTGGATATCTCTTGTAAAAAATCATTAAAAGAAATGATTCTTTTACTCCATGGTCACAGGCTAAAATGACGTCACACGCTAGTAAACTTCCGGTCACAGTTTACTTTGTATCGTTTGAGGTTATAATGACAGTCGTGTGACGTCACACACTAGTGAGACGCCATAGCGTCCAGAGAAAAGTTTTCGCGGCAATTTGAATATTGCATTTTTTTTCGTTTTTTTTTATTGAAAAACGAAAAAAAAATACACAACAGAATGAGGCATATCCACTTTTTTATGGACTCTATTTACGTAAATAACGTAAAACCGTTTTCTAAAACTTGTCAAATACCCTATTATTGTTAAATGTAATTTGAATATGATAGCGTGATTTTCTTTTTCAGATTTCATCACTTTATATTCGATCAAGTGCTCGATATAGCGAAAAAGTTTTTAGTATACGATGGCGAAGATAACAATATGTTTGTCGTTCCAATAAAATCAGAAGACGGATATAACATTGATTGGGATGTTATGCTGAAGTATAAAACTGTACGACCTGTGGAAATTCCTTCCTCGGAGGTAAATTAATACATTATTGATTATTGACTCCTGCCCCTAATTTTATGTGAAATTTAAAATGTGCATCTAAATAGTTAGTCGATATCCAGATTTTATTTTAACGTGGATCGTCAAAATATAAGAATCTCTTGCCCTTCCCTTTAAGTAATAAATATTATATCACGTCTTTAACTCTACCAAGTCTGCTCTTTGAAATGAGCCTTAAATATAGGTAATAGAGTTGTCATTTATATGCATATAAAATAGATTCATTAATACACTTTGTATCCTTATAGACTTACAAAAGTTTTAAGGCAAAGTTATAATGTTTGTACACGGAATTGTATTAAAAAAACACATATAAAACTTCTGTTAAATATATGTAACTGATGGTGAAAACTTTATCAAAATCCTTTGCGTGATTTAGGAGGAGTTAGCGGATACTGCGGATAAATACTGAAAGCGACCTAATTTAAAAATTGTATACATTTGAATAGGTTGATTTGCATGCAAAAAAGGCATACATGCAAAGAAACAAACCTGTGTTCATCAGTATGGATTTTATTTTATAGGAAAGAAGGAAACTGCGCGTCACTAGGGAAGATTATCAGAACACTGTCGTGACACCTTGGTACAGAGGATGCCTTTTAACCGAAAGGTATGTACATACGTAAGCAATCTAAACTCTATCAAGTTTTCCTATACAGTTTTTAAAGGACATGGCTAAGAAACTGCCCTTAACGTGTATATTAAACTACTTGACCGTCACTGAAAGCTTTATATTGAGATAGCACTTCCGTTTCCCGTCGAATTACCATCAGTTTCCGTACTTTTATTCACCTTGTATCCGGTCCAGTGGCGACACCTGGCAGAAGCGCGGCCATTTATGTTTTCCTAAGTTTTGACAGCGCCATATTAACTCATTGGCGTTCTGACTCCCGTCGAAGCAACACGTGCTCAATCTGAGCGATCGTTGTGCGATTTTAAAGGTTTTATTATTATTAAGTGATAAAACTGTAAGTACAACTATTTTATTTAACGGTTTTTGCCGTTGGTGTTATTCCAAATAGGTACTTTACGTATTAAAAGTGAAGGAACCGTAAGTAAAACTATAATTCTTTTTGATAGTTTTTGCAGCCCTTGTGATAAGGGATATTTAAAACAAATATGTTAAATTGTGCAATACGCTTGTTTGAAAAAGTAATAATAAGCCGTGAGTAAAACTTAACGGCAATTCAAGGTGCGTTTTGTTTAAAAAATTTAAGTACCTACATTAAAGTAAATTTTGCAATACTTTACGTCTGTCTTGGTCGTTTATCATAAAAACTATTTTAAGAGTGTTTTCTCTTGGTACTCAATTAATGTTTCCGTATAAGTAAATGTGAAAGTAAATTGGTAAATGTATTACAAAATACTTAATTAAATTGTTTTACAGTTTAGAGTGAAGGAATATCGGTCAATATTGACGTTTCAGCCGCCGACTGACTGGCATTATTGGCAAAAACAGCAAGATGTGTGGATCTAGTCATTATTGTTCTTCGAACAGCTGCAGTAATAATTGGTTGAATTTGTCGTCTTCTGGTATAACGAAAGCGGCATCGCTGCCTCAAGAAAAATAAGCGAGCTTGATATCCCAGCCCTTTTATTAAAAGATTGTTCGAGGGGTAAGTGAACTATGTACAATCTTAATAAGGTATTTCTAATGTCGATATGCCGTTTTCTGAACATGGCCAGCTATCAATATCTAAAGGCTTATGAATAAAAAGTTCTAACATTTTACTGACCAATACACGTAATAAAAATTCTCATATGAGTCGTGTGACTAAACTAGCATAAAGGAACGCTCTGTTCGAAAGACATTCAACGTTTATTTTAAATGATATGCTGATGTAAATTAAAAATTATAATCATAGTCCAGGCTTTATCAACCTGGAAACAAACAACGAGGTAAAGAAGTATTATGATAATTTATGATATATCACGTTCCTGACATTAATTTTCTTTCAGCAATTGCATATTTTTAGAATAAAAATGAATCATTGCGGGAAGGCACCTGCTCAGTTAATTTTAATAACGAAAGTGATAAGATAACAGAATCGTTTCTTAGGTCTTTTACAGCTAGCACAAAGCTAAAAAGTAAAAACTAAAGCACTGCAAGAAGTTAGTGATCTCTGTGATGAAGCACCACTTAATAAGATACCATCTATGAGGTTGTTTTTATCGTATTAAGTAAGTATTTGTCATGGATTTAAGTGATTGACATTTCATCAACCTAATGAGCAACTCGCGCAGAGGCAAGTGATATTCATAAGCTTCATCTCATGAAGCCCAAGGCGTGTCAGGACATGCCCTCCCATGGCGTACCTACACATATGAGTACCGGTGGCAAATCACCCTCGCGGGGTGCATATTATATATAATTTGTTTCCACTACGTGGAACCTTATGAAATGCCTCTAATGCCTTGCCTACATATACGAGTACCGGTAGCAAATCACCCTCGCGGGGTGCATATTATATACAATTTGTTTCCACTACGTGAAACCTTATGAAATACCTCTAATGCCTTGCTTACATATACGAGTACCGGTAGCAAACCACCTTCGCGGCGTGCATATTACCAAAACTCTGATGACCGCCCCTCGCGGGGGCATATTATGTATAATTTGCTTCCTCCGTATGGGACTCATTATGAATAAGGACTTGCCTTCCATGGCTTGCCTACACATACAAATATCAGTAACAAAACATCGTTGATAGAGATATATCCTCATCAATCTTATAATCGCCCTTGTGGGGTCATATCACACATAATATATTATTTCCATTACGTGAATATCAATATATGTTCTCCTTAGAACATGTTAGCTTATGGAGTTCGTACTATTATGTAAGCACCGGTAACATACGACACTCGAGTGGAGCAAATTATGCATAATTTAACATGTAGTCTATTCGTGATTCATAATTTATTTTTGTGACCATGGGGTCTGTAAAAGTGTAAACGATTCGAAACATTAAAAATAAGTAAATTGAAAATATAATAAATGTCGCTTGACATAATTCATTACTTCCATCGCGTGGAAATCCATACATCAACGCAACGCAACATACCCGCTCATGGCTTGCGTACACACATAAGTATCGGCTATAAACTACCCTCCTAATAGACTATAAAGATCGAACATCGAATGTTGACGTACCCCGTTGGGAAGTGCAATGTACGTGGTTTTTAAGGTGTCGCATACTCCGAGGTCTTGGGTTCACCCCGGTGGGGCAAATCATTGTATGATAAAAACGAGCACCTAAGTTTTGGTTGTTAACAAATATGAATTCAAAATCTAATCTAATAAATTCTAATCTATGCATCATCATTATGCATTTCTATGCGTTAGCCCATAACACAAGCCTTTCAATGCCCATTATAAGGCTAGGCTAATTGGTGTGAAGTGTTGACTCGATCACTACGGTTGTTCTACCGTAATATATAATACATTTCAAAAGAAAAAGGAATATCGTAACAATTAATGTTTGAAAAAATTTAGTGCAGGTAAGTTGATAAATTGGGAGCTCCATAAATAATTCTTAAATAAATTTAATGGTATCGCATGCCATTCAAAAGCTTGTTTATCTAAATCCAATATATATCAAACTCCAATCTCAAGTGCAGTACACTATAAATATGTAAAGAATTCTAAGTTTTCTGCAATTTAAGGACTATCTGCCAGATAAATAGAAGATAACATATTTTCTCTTGAAAATAACAAAAGTAAACTAAATGGGTTGCTCACTCTTTTGATCGCGTAATGAGAGAAACTTGCAATATTAGAAATGTCGTGTATGTGGTGTCTGAGGTGGCCAACATGATCATTTTGATATAAGTGGTGCTAGTTACTGAAGAAAGATTGCACGATCTACCAAATTCTTGAAAGGTTTTGAAGATCATTGTATGCAATTATCCCCTTTATGTTATTTTAGTAAAAATTACTGAAAACCGTTCTTAATATTAAACTTACGCTTTCTAACCTTGCCACGACTGTCTGGAATAAATATACTTCAAACCCTACGCATAGTACATACACACCTCATGTAAGCTGTGTAAATCTTATAAATAACTAAATCTTTATTTAGTATTAAGTAATACATATAAATGACTCAGATCTAAGAACTGAAAAACAAAAGGAAAAAATTACAATCAATTATAGATTCCAGGATGGCAAATGAATTTCATAAAATCTGGTCTGAACTTCGTAATAGCATAATTTATCACGGCAACCCAGCAACAATATAAAAACTATACCAGAGAATTTCGTTGTACAAACGTAAACTTCAGAAGTTGATCGGTTTCAACATTTTTGTCATTCCGTGGGGTTGTATCAACCACTCCCTACTTCTAACAATAATTATGAATTCACTGCAATCGACCTTGCAATCACTTCCCGCCAATCTAATATGAAAGCTTGGGAAGTATAGTTGAAGAACACGGCACGATATGCTAGCACTACGCTTTTCAACATATTCTACAAAGAGCGACAGCTCTGTCTTAAACAGCTATGAGATGGCTCGGAAACGCTGGCTTGCGTGGTTGCATTAGTCTAGGAACAAGAATGTTTATCGGAATAATCCCGCAAGTTGTGGACTCGGCTCTGAGCTCACACGATTTTTGAGAGACTTATTTTTAACTCGTGACTTATCTTAAAATAAGTACCATTATTTTAAATAAGTCAGTAGTTTTTACATGATATACCAATGGATGATAAGTCTAATTACCTAAGCTCACCTGTCTTGGCAAACACATATATTGAAGTCGATTGTTTTTAAAGAATCAGTCCGTAACCTACTATTCTGTGTCTATAAGTTAACTTATTTCCTTTTCTTCAATAATGTACTCGTTACATCATAATGATCTGTTTCAAATACTTCGTCATATATGTTGTTCTGAACGTCATACAGTAATTATGCTCCGTATTATTTGGTTCAGCATGTGGTACACATGACTTGTTCCTACTTCAAATTATCCCGAATCATTGTATTTGTACCGACGAAGATTAGTTTAGCCTTGTTTCGGTTCAAAACAGGTGAAAGTAGTTAAAGACAATCCGATTGGTGACTTGTACCGAATAATGGTAATCGTAAGTGGGACCCTGATTTTTGGTACTTAAGTAAAAAGTACAGTCTTGTAAAATGTAAGACTCAGTATCAAACAACTTTACATCTTTTTCTCGCGGTCGTACGCCTTATTTGTGATATACAAAGATACAAATGAATGCTACACAAGGAAGCGAGTCATAGTTTTAAGCAAAGGAATATAGCGATCAGCTAATACATATGTTAAAGCAGCTTCGTAAGCTTGAAGAAATTAAAGGCGTGATTCAAATAATATTATTTGATTCATTTTTAAGCTTACTCGTTTCTTTATACAGTTTCATATAATCTAATAAATGTTAATATTTAAATTTATCATAAATTGTCACATTGGCGTATATATCTATGTACGTGGCGATCACCAGGCGATAACAAACAGGTCTCAATATAAAGCTTTCAGTGACGGTCAAGTAGTTTAATAGCAGCATTTTACCTGAAATAAAATGCATATTAAAATACTTACCTCACTGAAAGCTTTCACTTTAAATTCTGCCTGGTGAAATAATTGAGCCAATGAGTTAATATGGCGCTGTCAAAACTTAGGAAAACATAAATGGCCGCGCTTCTGCCAGGTGTCGCCACTGGACCGGATACAAGGTGAATAAAAGTACGGAAACTGATGGTAATTCGACGGGAAACGGAAGTGCTATCTCAATATAAAGCTTTCAGTGAGGTAAGTATTTTAATATGCATTTTATTTCAGGTAAAATGCTGCTAATTACTTCACACTAGGCTGTAACATTATAATATTGTTTTATGAATTACTAGCAAACCCGGCGAACTCCGTTTCGCCACCAGATGGCTTCGTTTTATGTAACATTTCGTTTGGTGATTAAAAGAAGTTTTTTTTTAATTTTTCCTGAATTTTCTTTGCTATAAACCTCACGGAGCCCGAGACCTTTCCAACGAATGCAAAACCGTGGAAATCGGTTCGTGCGTTCTGGAGTTATAGCGTCAGGAAGGAAAACCCGACTTATTTTTATATAGTAGAAGATTACGTGTTTATTAACCTCACACAACTTTCATGAAAAATTCAAATATTTAAAAGTATAAAAATTGACTTCATGTCTCTTTAAAAAGGAAAATGTTCTGTTTTACAAAATAAATGAGCAATAAATGTATATAAAAAAATATTTGTGTAAGTATATCGAAGTGAACAATATTATTTCGAAACTTCTTCAAAATATGACATATTTGGCCCTAATTTTTATTATAACAAATCACTGAAGATCTAAAATAATAGATTTTATTATTCTGATCAGGCTTGAGGCAAGGCTGTATGATTGTCTGTCTTGTCAATCCTTTAATTATTGCAAATGGACAAAATAAAACTTCACAGATTTCCTGTCAGGCTGACGATAACAAATTATATGTATTTATTTTTGCTTAAAAATCTTTTTGTGAAGAGTTAAGCGGAGAAATGGGAAGAAAGATTTTAAGAAAATGCGAAATTGATAACTCTTTGAATAATTGGCAACATCTTTTATCAACTGTAGTAAGGTAATGGCATAGTAGGAGTTCTCATAATTTTCAAGATTGTGACTTTATCAGAAGTTCCTGAGCCTGTTTTCAAAGAAATTATAAAAATTCAGCCATTCACCATTAAATATTCCTAAGTACAATATTTATACATTGCTGTCGCTCATACAAAATTTTACCATGTCCTTTCTTTCTCTTAAATTGTGTGATAAGGAAACCGCTTCACTAACTCGTTTCCGTGGAATGAATATAGATGTTTGAGAGAGTCTAGTATAGGAATATAAAGAAGAGACAGAGCGTTTCTATCCAACTGTTAAAATAAAACTGAGCGGATAAGTATAGGAGACATGAAGCGATCGTGCGGCCTATAGTTAATAAAGGTATCAGCATCATTGCTCTTTCCATTTCTATGGGTACAAAAAGTGTACATGTTTCAAACAACTATTCATATTAGTCCTAGATTTTATTCAAATAACATAAACCTAATTGTGATATTATCAACGAATTTGAAATGATATGGAAGCATAACTCTTTAACAAAGGCCACTAAAACATGGTTCCAGACTTATGCAACTGAACTTCAATTCTAACTAGACAAAACAAAATACTTTGACAAATCAAATATTTGCAAATGAATTCGGTTATCCATTAATTTGAGTAAGATAACGTTAAACGGAAATCCCAACCAATCCCAAGATCGGCGTGTTGATCGTAGTTTTTCCGCCCTGATTGCAGTTTGCGTGGAACCACTTTTTAGCGCAGTTCGTATTCTATATTATAAAAACTTGAAAAAAAAAATATATAAAAGATATTTTACTTACAGATACATAGTTTCGGATGTAATCGAGTACATGACACCTAAATCTCAGTTTGATTCGCACTCTTACGGCACATATGAAGATTATTACGCGAGCAAATACAATCTTGAGATCTATGGGCAGAAAGACCAACCATTGCTAGAAGTAAGTACGACTTCATGGCAGCATGCGGCCTAAGCGTGCAAATTGTACCTATATGAATAAAGAAATTTTGACATTGATTTGACTTTGCTGCCAGTGCACGCTTGGGCTAAAACCTATGGAGAGAACAAATCTGGCAACTCCAAATCTTTTATTTGCAGCAGTTCTACTTTAAAACTAATGAGATTTACCTCAATAATGAAATATTGTGTTTTATTGTCATAACGAGCAATTATCAGATTTTTGATAAATACTTAGGCCAATGACTGTGCGGGTCTTCTTTTTATTCATAACTAGCGGCCACCTGCGACTTCGTACGCGTGGAGTTAGTTATTTGCACATACTTTTTGACCCCTGTTCACTGCTCGTTCCCCGTAGGTGATAGCGTGATAATATGTAGCCTATATGTTAACCCGACTTCTTAAAAATATTCGTGCCAAATTTGAAGTAAATCCATGTAGTACTTTTTGAGTTTATCCCGGATATACATACAGACAAACAGAATAAATCTAAAAACTATATTTTTAGCTTCGGTATCGATTGTAGATCACACCCCAAGTATTCTTTTAAAAAAATATTCAATGTACAGTTTTGTCTTTCCTGCCATTTTATTATATACTAGCGGCCCGCCCTCGCTTCGCTTTGGTGTAGAGCTGAAGTATACGCTATATTTTTTTTTCTCAGGCTTGTATTAAACACAATTGGTTTTAAAGCCCGATTGGTTTAAAATTGACAAAGTTTCATACAAACTTTCATTCCCTATTTTATCCCCTTGGGGGTAGAATTGATCAAAATCCTTTCTTAGCGGATGCCTACGTCATAACATCTACCTGCATGCCAAATTTCAGCCCGATCCGTCCAGTGGTTTGGGCTGTGCGTTGATAGATCACTATGTCAGTCAGTCCCCTTTGACTTTTATATACTTATATATAGATAAAAACGGTCATTTTTATTACCTGTATTTATAATTAAACTAAAATTATCATATTTACGTTATATAATCGGAATGCTCCGAACTGTTAAGCTATTAGGAGTTTAGTTTACACGTGTAATTGTGAGTCAACCATAATCGTAAAAGATAGACATATGCTGTTGCGGGATATTATTTTACACAATTTTATGTAGAATATTTCCGTCATACATAATTTCTATGTAACTTTAACCATTAAGGCTGCACACGCGACGGAAGCTGAAAAAATGGAGTAACTTCTCCCGTTTTCCCAACATTTCCCTTCACTACTCTGCTCCTATTGATTGTAGCGTGATGAAAAGTATACTATAACCTGCCCAGGAGTATGAAGAATAATTGTACCAAGTTTCGTTAAAATCCGTCGAGTAGTTTTTGTTTCTATAAGGAACATACACACAGACAGACAGACAGACAGACAGACAAAATTTTTACTGATTGCATTTTTGGCATCAGTATCGATCACTAATCACCCCCTGATAGTTATTTTGAAAATATATTTCATGTACAGAATTGACCTCTCTACAGATTTATTATAAGTATATAGATAGATTCTTGGAGGATTTATAATGCAGTTTTCATTGCTTTCAAATTTCTCCCATATTTATTCAAAGGTTCGCAATATAAGCACGCGCGGGAACTGCCTAATGCCTCGGGCTGCGTCTATCAGAGCGTTCACGGAGAAGCAAAGAAAGTTAGTGGCGGCAGCCCAGGGCGATGACAAACCGACAAACGCGTTCATGGAGATATTCATTCCAGAGTTCTGCATCAAGTACGATTACCCTGGAGTACTTTGGTATAAAGCGATCATGCTGCCTAGCATCGTTCACAGGTAATAAAAAAGTACATTAAGGCCACTTTCTACAACATTCTTAATGAGGGCTTTTTATTTTTTAACTCACCCTATTCTAATGCAAATAAAGAAATTCTAATTTTAATTCACCATTGTATCTTTGTCAATGTCAGTTTTCTGAAATGGCGGGCGCCAGATGGCAGTACTGAGCCAAAAGGTTCATCTGTTTAATCGTAATTGTTGATGACAATTTTGCCATTATCTATAAACCAATTTAAATGATTGCTCTATGAAATAGCGCTACAAACCATAAAAAAATCTAGCTCCAAAGCTATCTGGAGTAGAGAATTTTCTTAAAAACCCTCACCCCCTTTTTAATAAATGAGGAATAAGCTTAAACTAATTACGCCATGTTTTGTTCATATCACTCAAATGCCATTTGTCACTCGATAAATCAGAGACAAAACATGGATTATTTAATCCAAGCTTATTCTTTGTTTATTAATAAGGGGGTTATTGTTTAAAGTCAAATAGGGATAGAATGAGGCCTAAACGTGATTAGCTTTATCATTTAATTTAAAAACTTTGGTGCAAGTGGGCCATAGTCATTAATTTTATAGCAAAGTTAAATCTAAACTGATTTAAAAATGTACCAATGTTGACTGTCGAAATATTATCCTTGTTTAATATTACTAATATAGCACGAATTTTTTCTACTCCAACTTTTAAACTATATATTTAAAGAAACAGTACTTATTTAATTTCTTAAAATAAAAATACTATCTTCCTTATTTCGTTTTAGAGTTTTCAATTTACTTATTGCACATGAATTACGAGAAGAAATTACAATTGGAACAAAATATGGAAAAACTCACTTGGACAGAGGTTGGTTTAATTTTTCTTATTCCAAGTTATTTTATTGAGAAAATGTTATTATTGAAGTCAAGCTTTATTTATGTTGTAGGTGAAGAATGGTTGCCCATACAAGTAGATCTACATATTGCCATGAAGTCGCTTTTGTCTCAAGTTGAAGAGCCAACTGCGATCAACACTATTGATCGGTAAGTAATATATAATTGGTCAGTGCATCCGTCCGGATAGCGGAGGGTGCTGGTTCGAGTCCCGTCTGCTGCCTGGTCCACGTGGATTGTGATCTAGAAAAAAAAATGTGTTTTTATACAGATAGCAAATTAGCTGTCACTGTTATTTGTGAAACTATTATTCACATTTTTTGCTGATTGTACTTGCTAGAATTGTCATTCGAGCCAGGTGGCGAGTTAACTTGACCGAGTAGTAGTTAGTGTTTGGGTACCAAACTAATGTCCGACGTCTTCTCACATTAAAATTTTGTGATCTCAAATTGTATGATTCAGCAGCGTACCTTAGGAGACTACGTAATTTTCTACCCCTCACCACCATAATTGCCTTAGCATAGTCTTTATTGCTTCCTATACTTGATTATGCTGACGTCTGCTATCTAGATCTCATGGAAGACCAGTTTAATAAACTTGAGCGACTTCATTTTTTTTATCCGCTTCATATTTGGCTTGCGCAAATATGATCATATTTCTCAGTTTCGTTCACAGCTCAAGTGGCTACCTATTCGCCTTCGCCGGAAGAATCATATCCTTTCTCTTTTTTACAACATATTGTTCAATCCCAAGACCCCATGCTATCTTAAGGAAAGTTTTAATTTCCTCCATAATTCTAACACGTTAACTTACACATTTATTACTCTGCCAACTCAGAAAAAATAGTATTGCGAAGCTATGGTGATGAATCAAACGTTTATTTTCATTGATTTATATTCCTGCAGGATAAATAATCCCATTGATGACACCGTACCTCGGCCCCTGAACATAGTCTCGATGAAAGAAACTGTGTATCAACTGCAAAACAAGAAAATCAGCAAAGAATACCCTTGGGATGTAAGTCTAGTTTTAATGGCTCTAAAATGTGTTATTTTTTGTATGCTAAAAGGGTGGCAATCAAACATATGCCGGATTTGTATCGGACACTTGCGATACAAAAAATATCACTACCGTTGTCTACCCTGACCCAATCCTCTACCCCGTGGAGCCCTAGAACCTTACTCACCGACAGAAACACAACAGTAACAAAAGGTAGTGTTATTTTACTGTAGTCTTCTTTATGGTGGAGGTTACTTCCCCAGACGCTTCAATTCAAGTTGCGAATCCGGTATCTCCTCTCTACCGCTACCTCTCATATTAATATATTTATTAACATACTCGTAATATTCACAACAGTCTCTAATAGATTCTTCAGCTTTAATGACTCTTTTCTCCCAAATTGTAATGGTAATGTAATATTAACTGCGTTAGGTTTAATTGAGGTTGCCAGCGCAACCACTTTTGCCTAGACCTCAATTATTCATAGTCTGATTCATCTTCTACAATTACATAAAAATGTGTTACAATTTAATAGGGTATTTTCCAAATTTTTGAAAACTGCTTATATTTAAAGATTGGGACAAACAATTTAACAGAAAAATAAAAATAAATTAATTTATGTCTTGTTTTCTCCATTAGACGACCATTTAAAGTTGAAATTATTTTTATGGTTTTGAATTTACCGCCAAAACTGTCTACTGTGTGACGTCAACTTTGTGTATGCAATGTTATCATCTGAAAATCATATTATTAACTTTTTTTACGTTCGGGATAAGTTTATAGTATAATACTGACACAAAATGTTTGATGTTTCGAAACTCTGAAGCACAGAAATTAGGATTAGTAGCGAAGAATTTGACAAAGTATTATACTATAAATTTATGAAGTACGTAAAAAAGTTAATAATTTGACCTTCACATGATTACATGGCATACACCAAGTTGACGTCACACAATAGACGTCCTCGAACCGAGTGTTTTGGCGGTAAATTCAAAACCATTTAAAAATAATTCAACTTTAATTGGTGTAATGGAGAAAAAAAGACATTAATTAATTTATTTTTCTGTTAAATCGTCTGCCTCAATCTTTAAATATAAGCAGTTTTCAAATTTTAGAAAATACCCCATTCAAAATCGGCCTATCTCTTGTTTCAACAGGCGTCAATAGATGGCGTTGCAAAAGTTCTTTTTTTTTCTCAACGTAAACTTCATAAGTGCCCTAAGTAAGCCGCTTAATCAGAATATGAATAATTTTTGCGCTGACAGCCTAAATTAACTCCTAACATTTAGAACTTATAATTGTTTCTATACTTTGCTGATTGTCAAAGCTCCAAATAGATTGGGCGATGAAAGTAGTAATAGTTTTATATAGTTAGTCAATAATCTTTTGGTACTACTTATGTTGCTCTTGATTTTGATAAAAGACAGTTGAATATAAAAATAAACAGAATAAAACAATAAACCTGGCTGGACCGCGTGGATTTCATGCTCACTCTTACTTGAAATTCAGAGGTATTGATTTTCAAAGCGACGAATTGTCGATACTGTTACGATTCACAGGAGAAAATAGAACCGGTAGACATAGAGAGGAATTTATCCACGGTCACTGTGATGGATATCGAATGTTACGACGAATTCGTATCGGCTCGGGTCGATCCGGAACAGCCGAAAGTAGTGAAATCTCCGGAAAGGCCGACCACATCGGCTGCCATTATGCCACCGCCGAGGAAGTAAGTTCTAATTTTATAATTAATCGTCATTAAAACACTGCCAATGTCAATACTTTAATATTGATATAAATAAAACTTGGAACAGCCAAAAGTAGTAAAATCTCTGGAAAGGCTGCCATAAGTTATGCCACCGCCGGGGAAGTATAATCTGATTTTATTCATAATCGTCATTGAAATTATTAGCACTGGAGTATTGATTTAAGTTAATTATGTAGTATAAATTATTCTATATACGTGCTTTATCTTATTGGTCTACGACAACTTTTTCGTTGTCTTTACCGCGAAATATGTCTTGAAGAGATTGTTTATAGTCATGAGGCCGCCTTATTTTGATTTTGTATGTCACCAATTAAGATCATTGTAACACGATATAATTAAATTATAAATTTCAATTCGAACTGGAATCTGCTATGACCAATCTTTCTCTATAACTAATCATAAGTTTGGACTCTAATTATGGTTTATATTTCGGTAGTGCCTTCTATAATGATCTACCTTAGAAATAAAAAGTGTATTTATTTTAATATGGACATAATAATAAAGTTGTTAGCTACTTACTTCAAGAGATCATTCTTAAATGCTACAATTGATATTCAATTATGCATAGTATAAAATGAAGTCTCTGCGTGTCTGTCTCTACATCTGCTAACACCACTCAACGGATTTTCATGCTGTTTTCATCATCAGATAGCAAATTTTTCACAGAAGGTGGTGGTTATATTTTATCATGTAACGTAAGCCCGAGAACAGTAAAATATAACCTACTTAGGTTTAGTAGTGCGAAGCGAGGGCGAGTCAATAATTGCCATATAAAATAATGTTTTCTTTTTTCCACAGGTACATTGATAAAATCAAGCTCCTAACGAGAACACCAAAAGGTCGCGGACCCGAACTACGAGACATATTGAGCGCGTTGACTACGATAAATTCAGGGGATTCATTTAACTTGGAAAGGGCGGAGACTCTAGGCGACTCGTTCTTGAAGTTCGCAGCGAGTCTGTACTTATTCCACAAATTCCCGCAGCTGAATGAAGGCCAGCTCACTAACATCAAATGCAAACTCCTCGGAAATAGGTAAGACGTCTGTCTTTCTAACTTTTTTTTACCTCGTGAAAATACGGAATGTGGTTAACGATAAATTCTCGCGACACATTTAACTCGGAAAGGGCGGAGACTAGGCGACTCGTTATTGAGGTTTGCAGCGAGTCAGTACTTATTCCACGAATTCCCGCAGCTGAATGAAGGCCAGCTTACTAACATCAAAGGCAAACTCATTGGAAATAGGTAAGACGTCTGTCTTTATAACTTTATTTTAACCTCATATAAATACGGGATGTGGTGAACGATAAATTCTCGCGACACATTTAAAACTCGGAAAGGGCGAAGATTCTATGCGATTCGTTCTTGAAATTCGCAGCGAGTCTGTACTTATTCCACAAATTCCCGCAGCTGAATGAAGTTCAGCTCTTAGTGAGCTGACCATCAAAGGCCAACTCAACGGAAAAAGGTAAGATGTCTGTCTTCCTAGTTTTACATATTACATGTCATGTGATCACAGATTAATTTGAGTAAATTGCTATAATCGAACGGCCCGGCCAACCGTAGATTAACTACTAACCTCACAACATGACAAATAACCAGATTATTCTTTCTCGTCAGTCAAAATCCTCCGAGCAAACAGATTTACATCGGACTAATCTGAGCGGAATTACTCTAGATGTAATAAACGAACGATTCAGATTAAAAATATTGTTTAGACGCCAATAACGAACGCAACTATTATAGAAAAATAATAGGAATGACGTAATTTTACAGCTTTGTCTATGAATGCATAAAATGGCCAATTACATGAAATATGAAATTGGCGTATTCAGAAATGAAACATTAAGATGTTTCATCAACGATATTAAATACCCTAGATACACCACGTGCGCTCAAAATGTGATCCAATCATGATGTGCTTGAACACTACTCAAACACTTCTTGGTTCACAGTCACACGTGGACCGTTGAAAAGTCAAGATGCCGCAGAGCTCCGTGAAAAAATGCGCAAAAATACTTATACATTACGTAAAGTGTCGTTTTTTCGACGGATTTCTAATCGATTTTTGTTAATTTACCGCATTTGAAGCATAGTTTGTTAAAATAATTACTATAAACTGATTAATAAAAAAAAAATGTTATATTCAAATGCATGGTCGATAATATAGACCTCTCATTTCCTCGCGGTCTGTACCTGCTATATTGCTGACAGCGCATTCAGAATTGCGCGTTCAGGCAAAGAAATAAGGTCTATGTTCTTTCGCATATAGCAATAAGACGTAAAATTTTACGAGCTTCCATTTCGAACTGTCCTAACTATTTGAAGCATGCACTTTAATTAAGACCTTATACAGTATGCATTAAATGGACCTTCAATGTTTAAAATGCCTTATATTGTTTGCGATCATCTTACGGAGCTCCGTGGATCGTCCAATATACCTTTTGGACAGGTTTCGGCCACGATTTTGTTCGTGTTGTTGTATCTAGGGTATTTAATATCATTGTGTTTCATATAAATTTTGCAAACTTTGACCCACGAGAATTAAGTGCCATTTGTACGAACATTCTTAAGCCCTATTTATGAATGTATACTCAAAACTGTATACATTCATAAATAAGAATAGTTGACAAAGATAGTATGACTGAAATAATACTATGTAGTCGGGAGCCCGGGACCAACAACTTAACGAGCCTTTCGAAGCAACTGTACCACTTGCGCCATCGAGTTCCTGAATTTAATTGTTGAAAATGTTTATAGCTCCTATTTTTGTACACAGAAATCTGTACTACGCTGGGAGCCGTGTAAAGCTCGGTGGACGTATGAAGATCGAGCTTTTTAGCCCTAGGAGAGATTTCCTCGTGCCAGGCTTCTTCGCACCACAAGACGCTAAAGACTTGATTGAAGCGAAACAAGTAAGTATTTTTCCTACGAATATTGAAAAAAGAGCGTTTTTACTAATTTGGTTGGAATTGACTTTTGAATTGATTTCAATAAAAAAAAATCAAAGTACAATAATTTACTTTCATTTAATAATTATAGGAAGGAATATGACACATAATACAATATAATATACATAATAAAACTATTTTTAAATGCAACGGTACATGTAATAATACAATTACTAAAATTGCGATATAACTGGAAAAACGAATAAAAAAAAGGACGGGTTGCACTCCGGGAGTGCCGGCAGAAGTGAAAACTTGAATATTAACGTTGTGCATTTTTGATATTTTGGAATGGTTAGGGAATAATTTTACACGAATTGCTTTAATTATCAGTATAAAAGTACTATCATGTATGTGGTAGAATACAATATTTATTTATAGCGCTATCATACACAAACATGACAATTTATATTATATTAAAGTTTATCTTTCAGAATATCAACTTACATGAATCACGTTTAAGCGCACTTAGCGATATGTATTGTAAAGAAATCAACTTACATGTATCACATTTAAGCGCACCTAGCGACATCTATTGTAAAAAAATGCATTTTCTTCGCAATAAGGGTGCGACGTGGACGTCCTATATAGAGACTTATTATTATAATACGATAAAATAAAATATTACTATGTTTCGTCCAATATATTGAAAGTCAACAACCTTTCCAATTTTATTGTGTGTCATGATGCAATCAGCCCACGTGTTTAATCTGACGCCAGTTTAACATTTTTTACCCATACAAAAAAAAATACAACGCCGCTAAAAAAGCTTTCACTTCAAAAATACTTATTGATTCATTTGCATATTTGTAACAAACTACTTGCAGGGTGTGCGTTATTTCAGAAACACGTTCACACGAGAGGCACACTCTCCTTTATTTTTAACCGGCTTCAATAAGGAGGAGGTTCTCTATTCGGGTGTTTTTTTATTCTATGTCTCGTTAATTTTATTCTGTATCTCGTTAAGTATAAATGATCGAAATATAAGTTATTTACGGAATTGTTAATATGTACCTTGTTTTTAGCGAGTTTCCGATATTCGTCGGAGGGTAGACCGATATGTCTGCCAATAACAGCCTACCCGCAATTACTTCAGTTACTCCGTGATCATGGCGCTTGCAACAGTGCCGAAATATCGGAAACTCGCTAAAAACAAGGTACATGGTAACAATCCCGTAATTACTATAATGTTAGTGACCATGAAAGTTTAAAACAATATAAATGATCGAATTAATTGAGAGTATTTAATTAATAGAGAGTAAGAATCCAGAGAAGTAGGTTATATTGGATTTACCGCTCTAGTTATACCGCCCGTCTAGGGAAGTAACTTATACCTTCGACGACCTCCGTGGCCAAGTGGTTTGTACGCCGCGCCGGGTTTCATGGTGTCGCCGACTCGAGAGGGTTCAAATTCCGGTGGGGGCTGACGTTCGTGTGATGAATACGAACATTTGTACTCCAGTCATGGATGTTTAATATGTATTTCGATATAAATATACTTATATGTGTACAGTATATGTATTCTATCCGTTACCCTAGCATCCCATAACACAAGCCTTACTTTGGGGTTAGGCTAATTGGTGTGAGCGTTGGAAATATTATTATTATAAAAACGAGCTAAATATTATATCGCGGTGTTCATGCTAGGGTACGCAACGGCGCAAATGCTATTTTAGTATAGTACGAGTCTATAGGCTATCCACACAAAAAATCATAATATAAATGCTTTTACTTGTGAGTCTCTTACATTGATAAGATAGACATAGATAATACAGTCCAATATCTATTTATTAATATGAAAAAACAGGAACCGCATGAATCATTTTGTTCTATTATACTTATGTAAGAATCATAAACTATCCTTGAAAAGGTATTAGCTAAAAGATATCTGATATCGTTGTATATATCAAAGATAAAAGAAAATACGATTATAAAAATATATGTGTTTTATTTATCTTTTCCTTTAATACTGAATTAAACGACATTCGCGTGGCTGTTACATTAAATCGTAGTTTTACCTATTTATACTTAACACCAAATGAGATACTATCAATCAAGATACTTAATCTAGACAAATTGAAAAAATCACAATACTTCATCTTAACAATGCGAAGTCAGGATGATAAAATTTAGTCAGTAGGTACAGATTTTTTTTATGTTTAAACTATTATTTTATTCAATCAAATATTTGACACACGTTTCGAACTCAGAAAAAGTATATAGTCTGATTTATAAGTGGTGTCCAGAACGTTGCCAAATAACCTAACAATGAAATAACCGGTACATTTAATGACTGGTGAAATATGATAGACAGAGGAATCATTGTGTAAGAAGATTTATTGTAACTTTCTTTTTTTAATACTCATTGAGTTGATTTGACACGACACAAAAATGTCTACAAATAGGTTTTATACACTTATTTGTTATATAATATTTTAAAACCAGTTAAAATACTCGACTTATTTAGAAATTTATTTTCAATATAAAAAAGTTGCACATTCGTATAAAGTAACTTTTCTTAAACTGCCACGTTCTCACTTTTGTTGAAAAAAGCACAACCATCATTATTTTATTTGTCATGTTTCTATCACATTAGCCTTAGTGAAACTATGTATTGCTAAGAGCATTAAAATATATTAATGGAACACGTTTAAAGTGGAATTGTTTAAAATTACAACAAATATTCAGTAAACTTCTTAAAATTAGTATAACAATTGACTATCGCACTATTTATTTCTTTCACTCAATCGACATTATCAAATGACTATAAAATATTTGCACGCATAGGTACACACGGACACACAAAATATGAGTATTAATCAGTTAAATACCTACAGTAAATGGAGATATTTCCCCGAAAACGTTCGTGTTACTTCCTAAGACTCATTGCTGTATACGCCGTGAAATTTCAAAAAAGCTACTCCCGATTCGAACACGTCATCAGCTAGCATTTGTGGAGTTTGTAGTCCCGCGAAATGACCACCGATGTCCAAAGCGGTCGATCTGACCAGATTTTGAAACTTGTCTCTCAATATCCAATCCGGTTGGTACAAAACTTCATGTTTGAAGTTTATAGCTGCTGTTGGCACAAGCGATGGTATACTGTAAAAGCAAACATAATTAAAATAACTGAAGTATTTTGATTGCTTGTTAAATTTGGCGACACAGATCTTGCTTAGATCTAAAATAAGTCTGTGTTTGGTAAGATAGTATATTTGGCATCAATGTACAGTGTCGGATTTAGAGGTGTGGGGGCCCTGGGGCAACGAAGGAGTGGAGGTCCCAAAATATGGGCCGGATCACTTACGTTTTGCACCCAAAGCTATTATTGTTTCCAGACCTACATAATTTAGGCCCACCCATTGGCAAAAATGTAACGATTGAGGAGTGCCTAAGCAACAGATGTTATACAATTCTATTATGGCTTTCTTAATACAAAATCCATAGATATATACACAGTCAGGTCATAAGTATTGTCACACAGTAAAAACTTTTCTTTTAGAATGCTGGCCACAAAAAAGTTTATGAATTCGAATTCGAATTGTTCATGAAAATAAAAATGCTTACTTTTTAGAATTTTACTCATTTTGAAATATGGAGTGGACGCTTAAAGAAGGCCGTGTTGCAGTTATTGGGATTCATCGTTGCGGTTACGCGCCAATTCAAATTTTTGATATACTGAAAAATTTGAATATAACCAAAAGATTCGTTTATCGTACCATCAAACGATACAATAAAGACTAGTGTAGATGACAGGTCAAGAAGTGGTCTCCCTCGGTCTGTCAGGACTCCAGTAGTGATAAAAGCTGTGAAGGCGCGAATTCAAAGAAATCCCAAACGTGAGCAGAAACTGTTGGCCCTTCATATGGGGTTAAGCAGAACCACGGTGAAACGAGTGTTAAATGAAGACTCAGAGCTTCGGGCATATCAAAGAAAAACAGCACATCGTTTGAATGCTCGTCTAATGGACCTGAGACTGAAGAGATGCCGCGCTTTGTTGAAGCGGTACGCGGGAAAAAAATATCGGGAAATTCTTTATTCGGATGAAAAAATTTTTACCGTAGAAGAGAGCTACAACACGCAAAATGATAAGGTATACGCACACAGTAGTGAAGAAGCGAGCAACTGTATTCCGCGTGTCCACGAGGTCATTTTCCATCCTCACTCATGGTATGGTTGGGAGTTTCTTATTGGGGCTTAACAGAGGTACCTACATTTTTTTGAGAAAGGTGTAAAAACGAATGCAGTTGTGTATCAAAATACAGTCCTGACGAACCTTGTGGAACCTGTTTCTCATACCATGTTCAATAACAGGCACTAGGTATTCCAACAAGATTAGGCGCCAGCTCATAGAGCGAAGAGCACACAAGACTGGCTGGGCGGCGCGTGAAATCGACTTCATCCGGCACGAAGACTGGCCCTCCTCCAGTCCAGATTTGAGTCCGTTAGATTACAAGATATGGCAACACTTGGAGGAAGGGGCGTGCTCTAAGCCTCATCCCAATTTGGAGTCAAGACATCCTTGATTAGGGCAGCCGTCGATATTGACATGGACCTCGTTCGTGCTGCGATAGACGACTGGCCGCGCAGATTGAAGGCCTGTATTCAAAATCACGGAGGTCATTTTGAATAAACTTTATCGTCATAAGAATCTATGTTTTGTTAAGTTCATTTTGATGTATAAATGGTTACATAATGAATAAACTTGTTTCAATTATTTTATATTAAACATGTGACAGAATTTATGACGTAACTAGGTATATTTGTGTTAGGTATCTTTTTATTCTTTTGACATGGCATAATGTTTTCATCTTACTTGTGCACCGTCCAAACTTCAGGGTCTTTTGTAGTTCCTTCTGCGTAGATTCTACTGGAAGTCACAATGCAATTGTTAACCCATATAATGGTGATAGTGTCGAGAACATCGTCCAAGTTCAGATTCTCAATGCCGCCGTGAGGAGTGTTTAGCTGGTCTCTGTTGCTGCTTATAGCCATCTTTTCAATAACATACGAAGCTAATCCCGAAGGTGAATCCGTCAACGCAACACCTGAAAAAAATATTTAATTTGTTATTGTTAGGTAATCAAGTGTAAAAGGAGCAAACGTTAGACAGTTTCAAAAGCTCGAGAGCACAGGGGTTAGGCCGTTCTGTCTGCGATCGTTAAAGTAACTTTCGCAGCAGCTAGTCATAGTATGGGTGACCAACTATTTATTTGATATCTCGAGCACCTCCATGCTTCGTCAAGCGCGCTAAGCCGTGAACCCAACTGCATCTGCAGTCATTTCATTAGCACACACACTGTTGTATCCGTGGTAGGTCATGGTTCCTTTTTCTTTATTGCATAAAATAGGGAAAGCGTGTACCTCAGCAGCAGTAGTAGTGCTAGCTGCTGTAGGGACTAATGTCCCTATTAATATAGGCTGAATGATGATGGAGGTTATTAACAGAGGCCGAACAATAAATGATTTATGTAAGTACCCAAAAATAATAAATACAAATTCAGAACAAGAATTGAATTTAATCACCTCTGCTTAGGTACGTATGTATGCTAAATAAAGTTTTGTAGTAATTTTGTAATCCGAAATGAATGAAGCGTTATCAGTATGACGGCTCCCACATGACACTGATAAGTGGTATAGGTAAAGTAATAACCTTTATGTTACTAGATCAGTATGGAAATGGCTATACGAGGAATAAACCTACAAGCTACTGTGACCGCTTAACATCAGGTGGCCCATACAAAAACTATGTATTATAGTAAAAATCAAAGACTAACACAAACAACATGTGATATTTTCTCATTTGTTTATGGGATGATGGGCGTTTTTAGATATTTGTGATATCGATGCGCATCGATATCAGATAAATGGCACCCGATGCCGGCATCGCATCTATGCCATGCGATACGAATTACGACAGATGCGTGTTCAGGGTAACGTTGACAAAAACTAGATGGCATCGGCATCCAATAACGGTACCCAGTCGCATCGGATGCGCGCATCCAAACCTAGCATCGTTATTACGTTCATGCATCATTATTGTAAAAACGCCCACACCGTGAAATGCGGATAGATGCATATTTTGTGTGGATGTGTCCCTTCGATTCATGAATCATGACTTGAAAATGCAAACGAAACCATATATTTATTTTCGGCATAGTAACTGAAAATTTTGAATGTTGGCAAAATTATTACCTGAAAAGTTGCACTCAGAGCTTTTGTTTTGAACGCAGACCAGTGTCACAAACTTTTCTGTGGCAGTGGCAAAAATTTGAACTACAATTTATCCACAGCATTTTGTCATTTGTTCACCGCCTGCGGCATCTCCTCCAGCACAGATAAGTTTGTGGCACTGTAGTTATAGTAACGTTGACAAAAACTAGATGGCATTGGCATCCGATAACGGTAACAAGTGGCATCGGATGCGCGCATCCAAACCTGGCATCGTTATTGCGCATCGTTATTCTAAAAACGCCCACCACTATCTGTAAGCCGCATTGTAATTTAAAAATTCAAATAAATTTCAAATCCCCCCATTGTATTCCGCGGTGAAAAGTGAGTTTGTTCTTACAAAATAGTACTGCAGATTGTTTGTAAAGGTTTACGAACATTGTTATGCTATCACTTCCTATGGCATGTATTCGGTATTTGTACATTTGACAGTAGTATATCTTTATCACATACTCTATTGTAGTTTAAAAGAGAAAAGTAGTATGTGATGGTACTGCACATGACTATCCATACATTTGTCTTTGCATAAGACTTACGAAAACTTTTATTGAGATGTTATACAAAAACATCAATTAAAAAATCTTTCTCACCTATGGTATCGGGTTTCGTAGCTTGAATATGGAAATATCCACTTTCTCTCATAATGTAGGAGAAAAACTTTTTAAGTGGGTATATCCTGTCTGCGTATTTAGGGTCCACGGCTAATGTTGGAAATAAGGAGCCCACGAGCAGTTTTACAGTACTGATAGTTCTCGAAGATAGTGGCATATTGGTGTGAAATCTGTAAAAGGAATATTTTACTCTGCAATATTCTTCCGATGTCATGCTAAATTGGACCATCAGAAGTATAAGTAAGTTTACCAGATGGCGAGATTTTTGTTTGTGTGAAATATAAACTTATGTAATCTTATTATTAGTATCCGATTGTGAGTCATATCAGGAGTATATGCGATGATAAACGTTTTATCGTTTGTTAAATAACTCATTTTTTATTTAACTGAAAAGGAAAATTAATTACGGAATATATAAATATTTCACTGGGAATTATAATATCAGTCCAGAAGAAATTTAGATAAACATAGGCCGCTCGCTCATCCTATTAAACTTTTGATTTTTAAAATCATTTAAGAAATGTATATCAGAAATTAATTTAAGATTACATCTAAACTAATTCCATAAGAGTTTAGACTTAGGTATGTCTATAAAAATATATCGTAGTTAAACCTACGATATATTTTTATAAGAGGAGGAGAGGTAGGGTATTTCAGCTCGAATTGGAGCGCCCGTTTGGATAATCTACCTTCACCTTTCAGAAGATCACAGTAAAATAACACTAACTTTTGGTGGTGTTGTGTTTCTGTCGGTGAGCAAGGTTCCAGGGCTCCACGGGGTATGGGATTGAGTCAGGGTAGGCAATGGCACACTATGGGAACTTTGACTCATTTTAAAATATATTGAATTGAATATATTTGCTTTTAAATAATGTATAATTTGTGTATAAAAGTTTATTTATAATAGTTACAAAAAAAATAGGAAATCAAAAATCGTTTATTTTTTAGACTTAACTAAGTAACTGGTAAAACTAAGTGCCTAAAATTAAAAAAGAAACATCATAGTAGCTCAAAAGCCACTTAAGAGCTCCTTTGCTTCATCAATAACTTCTAAATATTTTTATTATAAAGTTTTCTCAAGCTTGTAATGTACGGATCAGAGGTAGAACATCTTTGTTGGTGGCTGTCCTCGAACATTTTCGTGTATGATGAAGCCTGAACCTTGTGCACGGAAGATGGCATGTTGTGCTGTATCAAATGCATACCGACCAAATGTTGTGGCATCAATACCTCTAGCGCTTGACATGACCTGTAGTATAACATAAAACAGTTTTATATTTGCTCATCTATACCAGTGATCTCTGAATTACAATAGTAATTTTGAAAAAATCTTCTGGCTGTATAGCCGTCATTAGTGTTACCACTAACTTGCTTCGGTTTATCTATATTTAGTCCAAGTTCTTCTTTGAACCTTCTTTGTACATAAATCTTCTTTTGCTTTGTCAAATCTTTGTTTTCTGTTGTTGTGGCAGACCAATTCTTAAAACCTAGATTGTAAGATAAATGTAAATTAAGTTCCATGAATCTGATATGCAAAGTTGAAGGGCCATATTGATAGGAAGTTTTAAAGACAGGTTTATTTTGCAATTTTTCTCAATTGTTTATCTCTGTAGGTCTTGCACCGCAAATTGTACGTGTCGCACCTGATGAAGTTTCTGTCAAAACTTGAGCCAATTTTCCGACAATCATAGTTAAAAATAACGTATGTTTAATTTTAATACCTTCGCTACTATGATTGACCAGGGAAGGACTAAGTTCTAAAATTTGAGCAATTGTTTCGTCGACTACGCTTTATGTCTTCTCAAACGTTTCTTTAAAAAATTCAATGAGGATTGGTCGGCAAAATCTTACTGATGATGGAGCCGGATTATTCCACAATACTTTATTAGTATTCGTATCTACAAGTTTCAAGTGCACTAATGATCATATAAACAGTGCCGTCTTTGACCTATTGGAGGCCCTGGGCATATTAGGATAATGGGACCCCTATGACCCCCGTTTGGTGATTTAACAGGAACTAGGGACTTTGGATTTGATTTGAGGGCGGTCCCTATTGATCACGGGGCCCTGGAAACTTGCTCAAAGTGCCCACTGGGAAAGAGGGGTCTGCATATAAATAAATTAGAGTCTGAAATAGTATCACTATCTTCAAGTAGAACTTGCTTGTATTCGCTTTGTCCGTTTGATCCGTAACAACCCCATTTGGAATATAAAGTTAAGTGGATTAAACCAACTTTATAAACATCATGAATTTTTAGAAGCCTGGCTGAAGTGTGATCTACAAAGTCTTTCAGTTTGACTTTTGCCTTGATGTTTGTAATTTCTATGCCTGATTCTGGTGGATAGCACATTCGTTTAGCTTGACGAAGCAACTTGTATGAAGGAAACAATAAGTAATTCTTTGCTATCAAAACATTTCTCATGTTTTCATATTTTGCCTTGTTCTGATTTAATTCAATAAAATGCTAAGAGCTCCATCTTTTGAATATGCTGTTACGTGTGCCAGTTCATTATGAAAAAATATTGCGTATTTCACTTTTCTTTTTGCCAGCAAAGCTCGTAAAACTTCAATAATTAATGCTACTTCCTCTTCGGTTCGCCACTTCATCTTAAACCCTGCATATATGAGTTCAGTATAAAATCAAGACCACAAATATCACAAGCAATTCCTTGATTTTCGTTTCCTTGTACTCTCTGAGCTGTCTTCATACGTTTTAGAAGGTCTTCCCCTTTTATCTGTCGATGTAAAAGGTTCAGGTGGTTCACATGTAGGTTCTTCCAGATTTACGATGATAATCCCATCCAACCAATTTCTTTTTTTGGCTTAAGAACTGTTCTTTCTTTCGACCAGCTTTAGTATAGCGTTGACGAAACTGAGTTATGAAAAACTTCTGAATACTTGCGATAATTTTAACAATATTTGCATCTGAAGATTCGGTAAAATTGCTTCGTATATAGTTAGAGGTGGAAACACCATAATTTGCATCACTTTCAATTAATAAGATACATAGGTCGCGTCTGGTACACGAGAACTGACTCATTGTGGCGAAATATTTAAAAAACAATTAGTTACGACAAAAAGTAATGCAGAAATGTAATATTCCATACTTAAATACACAATTTTATACTGAAAAATTATGAAAGACGTGTGCAAAATCAGTAGATATAAACTATAATCATCTAATCATTTTGCGGTTTTGTGGGTTTTCTATGATTCTTGTGGGAATATGAACTAAATATTGTGTTAAATGCACGATATTAGTATTGCATAAGATAAAAAAAATATAATAAATGGGCCAAGAGCCTTTATTTAAATGTCCATGCTGAGAAACCCGGAATTCAGAATAGTCTTAATAAACGTAAGAAAAAACATATGTTTTCATACGCTGATATTGTCAGAGATTTTTGACGACACAATAATACACACTGATACTGCAAAAAAAAAATGTTGCCGTCAAATTATATTTTATTATCTAAGAAATAACATAAAAAACAGAATTTCGGCAAACTTCGGCAAATGTCAAAACTTCAATTGAAAGTTTAAGAAACGAAAATAGTCCACATCTCTTATCTATTAGACAAGTCCGTCCGTCCGTCCGTGGTGCTGTTTCAGCGGCCAAACCGTAAGAGATAGATATAGAGAATGTTTAAGTTATAAGTTAAGAATAGTCTGATAAGACTACAAACCGGATGTGAGTAACGTAGCACTTCCGGTTTTCGAGAAATCACGTGATTTCTATTTCAAACGAAACCACACAAAATCTCAGAAGTTCTCAATTAATTAAATACATTTTTTTTTTGGTGAACATTTGGTTCCCTGGTTTGCTAGTTATGATATAGATTTTTTAAATTAAGTAATATGGAAAAAACTGCATATATTTTTATTTTAAAGAAAATAAGACATTCTAAGTTTTCTAAAATGGTATCACACTTATATGACTTCTTTTATTATGATACTATAAAATTATACGAAACTAACTGAAATCATATTATTATTTTTATATATTTTTCATTCCTTGACTTTAGATGTTCTTCTTTATAAAATACGTAGAATCAGATACATAAATGATATTGATTATAATTAAGTAACTCTTATTTTTTGATGTATAATACATGCATCGAATCACAGTCATGAAAAAAGCATTTATGAGATGGCTTTCTTAGGCGGGTTCCCATTGTGCGGCGTGAGTGATATTTTTGATATCGCAAGCGTCTGTAGACTATGGTGCCGTTTACCATCAGGAAGGCCATATACTTGCTTGCCACATGTATTCTACTCGATATATACAGTTATCTATAAATACGAAAATAAGAGTAAGAGTATTAACTCTCGGGTTCTGACTATATTTGGCCACTACTACTTTATTTCTACTGATTTAATTGATAATCGATTTCAAATAATATCTGCATTCCCCAATACATATAATTATAATAAGGAGCCAGAGACCTCTCATATTATATTTTTGTAGTATGAAGATGGTAAACATTATCTACATACCCTAGAACTTCATTGGGGAATATTGTGGCCATGTGAGTCGCACACTGAGAGCCCCAATCACCAGCTTGTATGTAAAATTTCTCGTACCCTAATCTCCTCATTAGATTTCTCATTATGATGCCGATTTGCACGGGATTGAGACCCGGTTTGTTGGTGCCCTGAAAAAATAGATTTCTTCTCAATATCCTTAGATTAAAACAAAAAGGGAAGATACGGCACTCGCGGCTCAAAAGCGATCCGCTTAAATTGTGGTGAAGTTGAATCTGCACGATCACAATTCGCTGTAGTCACAATTGGACATTCAAACATATACATGTACACTCAATATAACAATATTGCGTATATTCTGTGTTATAAAGATAAAACAATGCCTTCAATGCTTTTATAAAAGAACACAAATAGTTCAAAATCAAATAACAAATGCCCGGGCAACACTTCTCATTCATAAAACTGTAAAATATTTTTTTTCGCCTATAACTGTAAAATATTTTTATTTTTTTAAACTGTAAAATATTTTTACTACAAATAATCATGGTCTGCTCAATATGATTTCGCTATTAAGGGGGAATCTCTGAACCAACATTATTGATGTAAATCATAAAGCCGTGCGCTTTGAATGAATGAATTGAATCTAATGAATATATTAGATATTGACTTAGATTAAAATAAAAAGGGAAGATACGGTACGCTAATACTAGCATCAAATAAAATATGATCAAACTCAACAACATAAGCAACTCTTACACATGCACACATCTGCAAATAACATTCAATCGAGCGAGCGAGACAGACCTGCTCGCTTCAACGCAGAGCGAGCGAAGGCTGTTATTTGCAGATGTGTGCATGTGTAAGAGTTGCTTATGTTGTTGAGTTTGATCATATTTTATTTGATGCTAGTATTAGCGTACCGTATCTTCCCTTTTTATTTTAATCTAAGTCAATATCTAATATATTCATTAGATTCAATTCATTCATTCAAAGCGCACGGCTTTATGATTTACATCAATAATGTTGGTTCAGAGATTCCCCCTTAATAGTGAAATCATATTGAGCAGACCATGATTATTTGTAGTAAAAATATTAAAAGATTTTAAGATTACGATGACATAAGGTTTTAAAACAAATTGTACGCATGTAATTACAAAAACTGGGCATCGTGGTTTCTAACGTGACAGCGGCCTCTTGTGCCGTTGACTCTTAGATTATACACGTGCTTATGGCACGTGTATCCTCTGAGTCAACGTTTGTCGCTATCAAAATATACTACTACGGAAATATGACGTCCATGTGTATCGTATCGTCAAAAAACAAATGCTTTCAGTTCAAGAATTTTACTTGTCTTTGTCACTAATTATCTACTTATTATCATTTTTATACGCTATAAAGCGGTCAATGAATTTTAAGAATTTAGAAGAATCGTAAGTGACTCCAGCCTGACTGTAGTTAATAAAAGTCAGTTGGTTAATTTTTATAGATCAAAATGAGAATTAGAGCACTCAAAGAATTTTAAAAATTTTGAAGTATCATTAATCACTCAGCTAGATAGCCTACAATAGTCAATACAAGACAGTGGATTCGTTTTTATACATTTGAATGGGTTTTAAATTTATAATTATCTATAACCTACAGTTAGTAAATGAATAACAAGTATATATTACCTCTGAAAATCCAAATCCGGGTAGATCCGCTGCTACTACTTCGAAAACAAAGTCATAGCCTTCTTTGGGTGTAGTTAGCATTGTGATTACTTTGTCAAACTCTTTTGATGAACTCGGCCAGCCGTGTAACATCAGCAAAGGGAGAACTTTCAGATCCTTCGTCTGCGGTTGCATTTTTATGAAATGAATGTCCAATCCTTGGATCCTAGTTTTGTAATGAGGGAATCTATTGAGTAATGTCGCTCTGCCTTTGAAATCATACTTATCTGTCCAGTACTCTAGGATTGTTTCTAAATAAACAGTGTTCGTGCCGTATTCAGACTGAATGCCTTCCAAGGGTTTGGTCAATGGACGTCTATTTTTTATCCTTTGCTTTAGGTCTTGAATTATCTGTAAAATGCAAAGTTATTTTGTAGTTATTTTGTAGTTATACGTTTTTCAGACTATTTAAATCACCAACAGTGCTTATATATTAACTAAAAAAATATGATGTGGCTAGAATTCTGACGTTTATAACTGTTGATTAATTCCCGTTGTTGTCCCAACCCAGTCTGCATCGATACATTTAATTTAGCAAACTGGGGGCCACAGCATGATACATGGTGTAAAATGGCATCCTACCAGCCATCTGCTGTTGATCAGTTTCAGGATTTGTAATACCTATTGTCGATGCGGATCCTTTAAATTTTCTCAGTAGAAACTTGATTGTCAATTTACAACAATTAGTCCCAAATACCATGATAATATAATATCTCAGTCTGCTCATGTCCTACAACAGTTTTCAAAACTGTGATGTCCGTTTTAAATAGTTTATAATAAATTAGCATCTGGCTTATTATTTATTCTTTCCTGAACTGAAAAGTTCAGGATCAGCATTATAGATATAAATAGAGAAAATTTGTTTTCTTACCGTATCATTGAAGTTGATATGGAAGTTTCTTATTGCTACGTCCTCTTCTCTCGGTTTTGAGCCAATACCCCACCATTTCTCCAAATCAAAATGTGGTTTTTCTGGCACTTTATGGAGTAAGTACGTGATAACCAGTCCGGTACCTATGGCGACTACTGCTACAACCGATGATAATACCTTGAGCATCTGAAACAAACAATTGAAATTTTATAAAAATGTTGTGTACACATTAAAGATTATTAATGCAATGTATGTAAGTAAAAAGAGGTATCTTATTATATTTTTATCGAAGTACATAATTTAAGTTATAAATACATAAAAAAAAGTTGTATGTTTTTTTTGAAATCACCTAAGTTTTATTATACCTGTATATTTCAATTCATTATGTAAACATTGTAAATTTATTTATTTCGCAATTAAGCAACAAACAATTGAAATTTTATAAAAATGTTGTGTACACGTTATAGATTATTAATGCAATGTATGTAAGTAAAAATAGGTATCTTATTATATTTTTATCGAAGTTCATAATTTAAGTTATAAATACATAAAAAAGTTGTATGTTTTTTTTTCATCTAAAGTTTTATTATACCTATATATTTCAATTCATTATGTAAACATTGAAAATTTATTTATTTCGCAATTAAGCCCTCTTCACATTTTAGTGTATTTTTTAAAAGATATGTCTGGATTTTTGGATTTTGTAAAGATCTCCAGACCACAAGACCACAATATATTATTAATAAATTCTGACGTAATTTTATTAGAACGTTTGAATTCGTTAAATCTCATTCCCGTTGTTCTATAACAAAACAAAGAAGCTTTTGGTGAAATATTAGTTACTTACTCCCGTTGTAAATATTAATCGAATTGATGTTTTTTTTGCAGAATCCAATTTTAATACACTTATGTGACAATTAAATTATTATGTTTATCAATTCGGATGGTGAACTGATACTTATATTTTTAAATCTGTGGGTCACAGGAGTCATAGTGCTCGAATTTCGTGTATGACTTTCTTTTCACGCATCATATTTAAGTACTTACTTACTCAATGAATGACATTGTCCTTATTACAGTCAACTTTCACCCCAGCAACATGTTTTTTGTTTCTTTGTTATTTATTCTCATTTTGTTTTCAATTATTATATAAGGTTGCACAGCACACCTTTAAAATGTTGTTATTTTGATATTATCAATATTTATTTATTTATTATTAGAGTAAAAGATTTAGGATTCCCAAAATATGTTTTTAACGGAATCATACGTCTTAATATGTAATAATTATTTATTTATTATTTATATGTTACATTATGAAAAGATGTAGGGCACATTAAAATTAAAATATTTGCATTGTGTAAAAGTAAGTAATTCTCGAGCTCGATGCCGCAGTAGAAGTTAAGTAACTTCTGCAATGGCCGCTCATAGATGGCTGACCAATCCGAACTAGCCTGCGTGGTGGGGCAACTGGCCATTGTTGTTTTTCTCCTATTTCGTATATAGGGAAGGCCAGTCTCAGCAGTAAGGCCTATTCATTAGGCTGATTTATGATTTGTATAGAAATAGCGAGCCGTTACACGGGTGAACATAGCCTTTATTTATATCTATGTAATCAGGACTAATGCAGCTTTCTGTTAGTGAAAGAACATTTTAAATCGGTTCAGTAATTCCAGAAAATACTTCCTACAAACAAACAAAGTTAATTTCTTTATGATATTAGTGTAGATGATTACCTAATGTAATTATTTACTGCCCGGAAACGAATTCTGCTCTCTTATGGACATAAAAAGGGATTGATAATTCTGTCCTGAAGACTAATAATTTCATCCACAAATGAGATGAGACTCAATTATTATCCGATCATAGTGAACCGTGCTTAAGGCGCTAAATATTAACTGTGTTCATTTTGTGCACAACTGTAACTCGATGTAAATTCGGCCTCTTATTTATTCACTTAGTAACCGTATTAGGTACTATATGTAACGGTCATCGACACGTGTATCTCGTGAAATCCGCTTTGGAGAACTGAATGTGCAGGGAAACTTTTAATATGTCACTACAAAAAAAATCTTTCATCTTTAGAAAGCCGCAATACATTTTTGTTTTTATTAAAAAAATCAGACCCTATTAAGCAAGCCTCGGTGTCTATTTTTATTTTTCACTTTTTGAAAGCCATATTAACATCACTAGAAACTTACATCAATCAACCAAGTACATCTCTTAAAATAAGCAAATACAAATTGTGTAATGATTGTAATTTAGAGAGATGAACTTTTAAAGCAACAAAATTGAGCATACCACACAGTCATCATGAAGTACCCTATACTGAAATCATAAAACATGAATAATTTTTCATTTCTAAGCGATATAAGTAGTTAGTACATGTTTCAATCTTGACCTTGCCCGACTTCCAAATCGTACTTGGATCCTCCTGATTTCGTGTGAACCGGATATTATTTTTGATATTTTAGTTCCATTCGTTTTTGAAGTAGGTTTTCAAGTATCTCCCATCGAACAGCATCTACGTTACGGTATGGAGGTATATTTTGGGGGAACTCAGTTGACAGAGAATATGCATTTACAGCTCAAAAAAATGTGTAAAGGCTATTTGTAAAATTATCAAAGTGACAGTTGTAAACCGCATTTTATATCATTAAAAAACTTTTGACATTGCCGTGTATTTAAATATATGAAATTGCTGTTTTTGTTAAAGCAAATTTACACTTATATGTTACTTTTATTAGTAGAAAATTCGAAACCAGACTTTGTTTACCATCTAACAAGACATGGCTTTTGAATAATAGTGTACTTTGTATGGCAACTCAGGTATATAATAAAATTCCACTTGAAATTAGAAAAGCTGAAAGCTCCAATATATTTTGTTCGAAATTAAAGAATGTATTACTTAAAAAGGCGTATTATACTCGTAGTATTATGGAATTTTTAGAGGACAAATCTTTGTAAATGGAAGTACCTAATTGTTAATTTTAATTTGCATGCCTTGTGGTGAAATATGGAATAAGCGTCTAACGTATTATAATTTAACACCTTTGTATCACCTGTATTTACAAATAAATAATTTATTGATTGAACAAAATAAGAATCACTCAAGTCTGATCAGAAATCTTTACGTTATCGGTGTGTACATATAAACAAAGTATTGTGAAACCACATCGGCCAAGTTAACAAAATGCTGATAAAATAGAAACTACTAAGCCAAATTGAATTTAATTTTGAAGGGACCAAATGGCAACTATTCCTCGCACAAAAAATAATCACGTAAATGGGATCAGAACTCTTGGCGTGTCAGATTACAGAACTTCTATTAATCTGAGCTCGGCGTAATCGGTGTACATACGTAAAAAAACATCCTATCGACTGAATTAAGAACATCCACCTTTTTGAAGTCGGTTAAAAATTAATACTTAGTTTTAAAGCTCTCTGAACTCGTCAGTTTTTATTCGAAAATAATAGGAAATACAATGATGCTTGCAATTTTGGTGACATTTTCTCCATTATACGTTTACGTTTCAAACCATGCATAGTCCCGGGGTAAAGTTAAAATCCCGTTTTTTCCCAAAATGAGCACTTGTCCCTTACAGTATGAAAATAAAATGTTGCAACCCAGTACCGTACCTACTTAGTGTAATCATTGTTAATCAAAGAATTACACAGAAAATTTGGTTAGCATAGTTTCGAAATCCTTTATCCTGGATGCAGTAACTTCTATTATTAGGTAACTTGTTTAGCTTATGTTAAAATCTTAACAAAGGTATATACACAATGATCATTAACGTATAACAATAGTTCATGAGACTATCATATAAGAAGGGGTATTAATACCCAAAATTTAGAAATTCAGTTGCATACACTTCTTTATTTTCGCTCATAAAAACAATTGAAGTTAAATAAAGTAGCTAGGTAACAAAGAAGTATTTAACAAAACTTTTCTGAAATTCCTAAAAGCAAACAACACGATCCGCAGATAATTGTATGGGAAGCGCGAGAAATTAAGTTCAGTACAAATTTTTCGTTTAGTTATAGTTTTCCCGAAAATGACGACAAATCGTTTTCCCTTCTTAAAAGGTCTCTGATCCACCCGTCAAGACCACAAATCGCCCTTATAATATTAATAAGATCCTCTTTTTATGTTTCTCTTTCTTTTAAAATGGGTTTCTTCCTGGTCTTATTTCACTTTAACATTTTTAGAGGCATTCGCCCCGTACATTTAATTTATGCAATACTGGCTTCCGCCCTTGACTTCGTCCGCGTCCTAAGACGATTAGTTTTTTGATAATACCAAAGGCACCTAACATTTTTCCGGGATAAAAAGTATTCAGTCTCAATTCAGATAATAAACTTTATGAGTGCCAAATTTAATCCGAATCTGTTCAGGCGTTTTTTCATCACGCAAAAACGCCTGAGCAGATGAGTAACGAACATCCAGATATACAAACTTTTTCATTAAATATCAGCAGAATAGAAATATGTTCAAATGTTAAATTTTCTTTTTCTTTTAATCTTTATAGATTATGTTGCCATGTACTTTTTTATCATTTATCATAAGATATCTTTAAAGAAAACATGATATAACGACGTCGTGATGCCTAGAAGTACCCCCATGGTCAATAATTGACACACCTTACAAAACACTAAGTTATTGTTGTTGAAAAAATAGCACGATCAGATTAAAAAATATGTATTGCTAGAATTCAGAAGCATTTTAACCAAAATTTGGTTATTTCAAAATACGCTCAATAAAAGAAAATATGTGTAATACCTTATACCTTGACATATTACCTTCTTACTTCAAATATGGGCATCTCACAAAGTATTTACGTGTATTATACGGAATGCTAACTGAAAATTTAATAGAAAAATACAATTTGACAATAACATCCATTCAAGATAAAGGTTTTTCTTTCTTTATCAATTTATGTCTGTATTATAAAAATTTTGTTATTACTATATTTTAAAATACAAAATCGCCAGGCAAATTATGAAATTAGGCATCTGAAACTGGGTTTTTTTTTCATTGTCTCACTATTCGCGGTGGGTAGGTAATTAAAATGTATATCACTTTATATTATTGTACATGAAAGTTTAAAACAATATATCACTTTATATTTCTTATATTTTAAACTAACACCTCTAAATCTGAATTTAATAAAAAAAAACATAGTTTACTACGTTTAAAATAAAAACCAAAACAATAAAATAAACTGTACCTTAATTCGAGTTGTTTTCGGAACTTTTGGTTAAGAACACTATGTAACACTTGCCGAATTTTAAGAAATATAGAAAAAATATATCATACACATCGAATACCACGTGCGCTTACTCCGATGTCAGGCGCCGAATTTGCATTATCTGTTGCGTGGTATGAGTTTCAGACAAATTCGGCCTCGACCTAGAGTAAGGCAAACATCCACAGTAAGCGATAATATAGTTAATAATGCTCTAATGTTACTAAAGAACTATCTTGAATTGAACAAGTTAAATGCGGACTTCTTTCTAATTTTATTTAAGTACATTGTTTATCACAAAATATAAATTCTAATATATAAAATTCTCGTATCACGGTGTGCGTAATTGAACTACCCCGAAACAGCTCGACCGATTTTCGTGAAATTCTATATACATATTCAGAAGGTTTGAGAATCGGAAAACATCTATTTTTCATCCCCCTAAATTTTAAGGGTGGTCCTTAATTTATTTTTGGGCAAATTTTTTTGTTTTTTTTTTATGATACATCATACCAAAATGCATACAACCCTAAATTTTCACCCTTCTATCACCAACCCTTATTTTTTATGGTGGTACGAAGTGCGCTGGGACAGCTAGTAATATATATGTATATACATATATTGATTTAAATATTTGGCAGTTTCAAACAAAATAAAAATGTAACTAATGTATGTTTCTTGTTGTTTGTCGGAACAAATTTTATCAATAATACTTTTTTATAAACCTAACTATAATAACTATGTTTTGAAAAAATAATAATTCTTGTCTGTAAGAAATGCTGTTATTTATTGTGACGCATTTATTTTGGCTCGTGTAATTTAATTACCCGAGCCGGAATTGAACGTATTTTCCCAAATTGATTCAAGTCGTTTTAATTTGTCGGAAAGGATGTCGACGAAATCTGCCCCAGTATGCACACACGAATGTCCTTAATTACAGATTGTCTATAAAGTCGTGACATGAATGTTTGAAGAACTATTCATGTGTCTGGCAACACCAAACTTATGTACATCAGCTGTCATCGAGTTTGAGTTGTGGAACAGTTTTCCTTTTGTATTTTTTATTGTTTTGATTAAACTGTAATAAATTAAGACGAAACTACACAGAAAAGTATAAAAATGAGTAAAGTAAATTGGAGTGGCACGTGAAAAGTGTTTTTTTTTTTAAGTTTTCTAGCGATGTTTCGCGGAGTACCAAGCTGGACGAATTTTGTGAGATTTGGTTGATGTTTATGGGCTAACAGCATCTATGACAGGTATGTAATCGTGTTATTATTTGTTTGTATTCTGCCTGAAGTTACAAATTTACTCAATTTACGATTTTGAGACCAAAACAGGCATTGTTTACATCTCACATTTTTAGGTTAGATTGACATTGTAAGTACCTAGGTATATAATTTCTTTTGATACGTTGGGGTACAACTCAGTCAGGTTTTCTACCAATTTTGAATTAATTGCTTCATGACAATAAGTTATTGTTTCTATTCCGTTACATATTTTTTAACATTTTTTTTTCAGGAAAAGCAGATAGTTCAATTAGCTTGCGTTGACTATCCAACGAAGGTTTTGAGAATGATGGAAAGTTTGAAACTCCTGGGAATCAAAGGCAACGCCGACCAAAGAAAGAAATAGACGCTTTTTTTTCCTACCAGGTCACAGAGAATCATGGCCAGATGCTTTTAGTGAAGATACCTATCATTAATTAATGATATTTAATTAACTGTACATTTACAAGTTGTGGAGCTCGATGGCGCAGGTGGCTAGCGCGTTCGGCTGCGATCGTTGAAGTTAAGCAACTTTCGCAGTGGTCGGTCATTGGATGGGTGACCAAAAATTTACTATGTCGAGCTCCTCCGTGCTTCGGAAGGTACGTTAAGCCGTTGGTCCCGGCTGCATTTGCAGTCGTTAGCACCCACCAATCCGCACTGGGCCCGCGTGGTGGGTCATGGCCCAATCTCCCTATTCCATCCATAGGGAAGGCCTGTGCCCCAGCAGTGGGGACATTAATAGGCTGATGATGATGATGATGATGATTACAAGTTGTTTCTCTAAATAAACTTTTTATATACTATAAAATCATTTTTAGTATTATTTTCTTAACAACTGTGTTAAAAAACGTCGTAAGATACACGTGTGTATTGATGATTACCATCCTCGGCTCTCCTAACGGCTCTGGTCTCAATGTCGCCTCAGCGGTAGCCACCAATATTACACACTTGTACACAATAATGTACTATTTTATCTATAATAATGTTAATCTGATTCAATAAAATATGCTTGGTAAAACTTTTTATAAGCAACGGTACCTACTGTATATAAAACAGAAACAAAATATGACTGTATAGTGTGTCTTAATTACTTATTTTACTTGAATGAACTGCTAGTATCAAAATCATTTTGGTCAGACTGTATAGGGTTGCTACATGCATACTAGAAGCGCCATCATTTAATGTCACGACTTTATAGACAAACTGTATATCCTTTCTATTATTTTTTTATTTTTTAAGCAATTATTCATAGTAAACGGACATTCTGTGGTAAAAAAGTGCAAAATGAAAAGATCTGTAACTACTACACATCAGAAGACTGTCTCATCTAAATTCAAAAGCTTCCTATTAGAGATAGACCGCTTGTGTCAAAATGGGTGTTCCGCAGGGCTTAATCCTTGGTCCTTTCTTATTTTTAATCTATATTAATGACTTGCCTTACTATGTTAGAAATAAGCATAAGGTAGTATTGTTTGCGGATGATACATCACTTTTATTTAAACTCAAACGTTAGGAAACAGTTATTGCCGACGTGAACCGTTGTATCTCTAAGGTAGTCCACTGGTTTAATGTTAATAAACAGGTAAAAACCAGTGTGAATTAAAGGATAGGAATATGGACCTTGTAGACACCACTGTATTCTTAGGGATTAGTTTAGATTCTAAGCTTCAATGGGGCCCACATATTGATAAATTGTCAAATAGACTTAACTCTGCAGCATATGCCGTAATGAAGATACGCCAGTTAACGGATGTAAATACGGCCAGATGAGTGTACTTTAGTTATTTCCATAGTGTAATGTACGGAATTTTATTGTGGGGAAACGCCGCCGACATTCAAACTATTTTTGTGCTGCAGAAGAGAGCTATTCGTTCAAATTATAATCTTAAAGTTAAGGATACCTTAAGAGATAGGTTTAAAGAATTTGGTATAATGACGGTCGCATCAAAAATACACATACGAAAATTTATTACTTGTAAGAAAAAATATTAATTTGTTTCTTAAAAACAGTGATGTTCACACACTTAATACAAGAATCAAAAATAAACTAACTACCTGCTTCTAGGCTTCACAAAATCAATAATTCATTTAAAGGTTCACTTTGTGTTCGCTTAAACATTAAAGTCCCAAGCAATATTCAAGAGTTAACCATAAATAAATTCAAAGATAGTATAAAAAAGCACTTATTAAAAAAGCTTATTACAAAGTGTCTGATTATATTACAGACAAAAATGCTTGGGTTTGAACTGTTCCAATCATTCCAACAGGTTTTCTATATTAAATAAATCATGATTGTATTGACGTTGTAACAACATAATGATTTGTAAATGTTGTTACATTATGCTTTTAATGTTGTGGAGTTTTTTTCGCTCGTTTTTCTCCGCAGGTAAAAAATATGTCCAATAACGAGTGGTAGGGAAAAAAAATGTTTGGACTATACAAAAGTGTTGTACTATACATCCAATTTGAATAAAGATATATTGATTTCTGATTTCTGTATAAAGGGACAATTAGACCACACAATTTAAACCGTGCGATATCTAGTCTGTCTTGAAACAGAGCCTTAAAAACTGCAAATATACGCGACCATATGTATTTACAACATAAAAATAGAACTACCTAGAACTAGAGCTACCTACCTCCTTAGTCAATAATACTTCTCACAAGTATTTATATTATATTTATAGATAGTTTCAAAAATTATGTAAAGATTGTTTATACTTCATCCCATATAATATCTGTTTATTCTTTTGAAAATCATAATGATGACCAGGTACATACCTAACTACCAATAATATAATATATATATAGAAACAGGTAAATGGAAAGCATTTAAACATTTAATTTTGAGAAATCAATTGTTGAACTGGTAGGGTGGTAGGTATAGGTATCATAGATAGGTATAGGCCAACACTCATAAATCAATATGAATTTGAGCATTTATTATTTTTACTATTAATTGCATTTAATGTTCATTTAAATCGTATTATTTAAGTGCTTACATAGAGGTAAACAATAAATCTATTCAGAACATGTAAAGTGTACATCGTTTACGATTAAGTATAACCTCAATATCAAATATAATCTGTAGTAGGCCACGGTTCCTCAACTTGTCCGTGTTTCAACAAATGCCCGATGAGAATTTATGAATGATACCGAACACAACTAGCATTTTGTCATTGCTGTGTGTTCTGGGGCATTCAATGTATGGGGAACGAGTAATGTCCTTTGATAATAAAATCCAGATAACTAATTTAAAAAATAACTTTTTTTATATATTTTTTTATTAATTGCTAGAATTTTATATATTTTTTTTATTAGAAATATTCAACTCGGCCCATATATAAAGGTGTAATTGAACCATCATCCATCCCCATCCGAGTGAATGTAATGGATTATATTCAATTTAATACTTATGCAATTTATTATTTATTTTGCTACTTATATTATAGTGTATGTGTGTGAAAGTTTGTCACGCGGCGTGAACGGATTTGGATGAAATTTGGCACACATATTGTTTGTTACCTGAATCTACACATAGGATACTTTTTTCTCGGAAAAAAATATTTTCCTGAGGGCTTCCAAAAAAACAAAAGTTAACGCAGACTCCAGTCGCGGGCGGCTAGAGGCCATACTAGCCAAATTAATATTATAAACTAGCGACGTATCCCTCAGGAACCTAAAATTTTTTTAAGGATAAAAGTATCCTGTGTATCAATCTTAGTCATAAACTATATTAACCTGATAAGCTCAAAAGCGGTATCTCGATCAGAATAGGGATTGAAAAGTTCGCCCTTTTTTGAACAATTTAAAAAGGCGATTTTGCATTATATGCGTACTAAATTTCACGCAAATCCG